TAGTCGTGGAAAACATTATACCGGCGAAATAACAGTGGAAATGAGCGAAATATATAAATAACAACGGTCGGACGAACGATGTCATTATTTGTTAATTAATAAAGTATTAAAGAATTGTCAAAAGCCTTCCACAACTTTCCTGCGGTCTGCTAACAATAAGAATTTACAGAAAGTCAGATGAGCGAAGGAAATAATAATAAATGTACAATTATAAAGCAAATTTTGAAAAGGGTCACTTGACCCCGCTTGGTACGTTTAACGAAATAATTTCTCTCGTTGTCTCCAATTCCAACCCGATTTTTCTCCATAGCTCTTGATATACGCGGAATATAAACAAGTGGTTCGAGTAGGTATCTAAAAGAATAACGAACGCGACTCGCGATTTTTCCAAACTAAAGGATTAACCAGTCCGGTGCATTTAATTAAAAGAAAGTAAAGTGTAAATTTTCGTTAGATCACGGGAAAACAGCTTGCGACAGTTTATTCGGTGCACTATATCTCGGTCTGATTTCCCGTCGACTACTCGTTCCTTGTCCGATTCGTTTGATCGTAATGGAAGCATGGCGCGCAGGTTCGGCAGGTGACGGTGGAAAATTGTTCTTGGTGGAAGGTTTTTTCCCATGGAAATACGATCGCCGGTGTTTTCATTAAATCGTCGCCCGCTCTGGCACGACAAAAATTGAACTCTTCGGCCAGCTGTTCCGCGCCGTGTAACAACGCGAAACGATACGCGGACCACGGCGTTAATCGCGCGAGCCCGGCAAAAAAGTGTGCCACCGTGCGAGAAACAAAATCGCTTCCATTTCACGCGCTAATAAAATCCGTATCATATATTCGTGCTAACGAATCGGTCCGCCGTCTGCAGGAAATTGCTATCAACCGTTTAATCGATACCTCGGTCGGAGGGAACGCCATCGCGAAACCGTCGTAGTTTTAACTTCGTACGTTGGGACCGCTGAAATTAGACGTTCCGGAAGCTGTATGCGTAGGTCGAAGAACGGTAACTCGGAATTCGCGAAGAAACGGAAAAATTAAGCGATATCGGTGATTGCAACGGTTCCGGAAGTGACTGTTACGTTACAGTTCGGTCCAAGATTGTTGCGAAAATGAGGAACGATGGGAAGATCGCAAATGATACGTACATGAGGTAACTAGCGAGTATAAGAGCGTAGTTCTTACCTTGATATTCTCTTTCTGAAGATTTATTGCCAAGAAGATCGACTGGGAACGAACCACTCACTAGGTCTCACTACGTACAAATGACTACGCATTCAAAACATTGGCTTTAACCGCTTGGCCTACGATTTAACTTCCGATGGCACGTGGCACAGTCTACAGCGAAGTCTGTAACACGTCGGCCATTTCAAGGATAACACGCGACTGAGACGGAAAGACGTCGGTGGAAATCGACCACGAGCCTGACCTGTGTTGTTTACGTTGGACGACTCTACCTATAAACCATGGCTGTGATCCTGGCCACGAGTCTCGCGCAATATTGTAAACGAAAGGAGAGGATACACTAGTCCAACTTAAACGGACGTCCAATTGTTAGAACAATACTGTAATAATATCCTAGCTAGTCGATATAGAGGTATAATTTACTAACAATTGTATTGTAGTAATAAATAATATTTTGTATTGTAAATATAAATTATTTCATTATCATACTAAAATAATTGTATCGCAAAAGTGACTAAAAAAATTGTCATTTAAATAAATGAGGTGGTAGAGGGTGAATTGAGCGGATAATTGTCATTACATTCACCTAGCTGACCCACCTCGACGAAATTTGGGTCCGTTCGAGTCGAAGACAAATGACATCGAGTTTCAATAACGGGCCCTTTATATATTCAGTGGCTGCCAACCGAAATCGGTCGGAAGATCACGATGATTACCGATTTCGATAACGATTTCCTTTCTGCTAGAGTTGAAATTATTTATTAATTTTTCCAATTTTATTTTTATCATGCATTTATGCTTCCGAAAGTTTATTATTATTGATATTAATTTCTTATTAACGACAAATTTAATTACTCGTTTCCCTTAATTATAATTACTTTAAAAGGTAAAATATCTACGTGATGAAAAAATTAAATTAATTATCAACGGTCAATTAAGAATAGCCGCGGTATAAATGAAAAATGATACGTACAGCAATTCGTAATAATACTGCAATATTAATAACGTACAAAATTTGCAGATGGAATTGAGAGATGTTACCTCGTAATAATTTAATTATACGTATCATGATATTCGATAATAGCTTTTAGTTTTGTGTAATTCGATTCTAAATCTCCGCGGCTCTTTAATAATCGCTTATCAAATCTGATTAATTCGCTAGTTATTTAACGATCAAATTAATAATCCGAATAAACGCAATTAAAAATATAAAAATTCCTTGCGAACATTTATATCACGCACTTCCTTCTAACCGCATACCACACCTGGCTGATCGTTTAGGGGTGTTAATTCGCCACTGTAAATCCTAAAGAATATAACGAAACCTTTGACTGTATTATAAAACGCCTATTGCAAAATCTCATAATACATAATCCCAGAAATCTACTGCACCTCATCCATCTAAATTTAATCGAACCCAAAGCAAACACCCCTTAGGAATATTTCCAAACTTCCTACAACCAACTTCCTTGCCAAAATCCATATCTCCCTTTCATACTTTACTCTCCGTAACGATCTCGCGCTATAAAAAATAATTCTCCAGAACCACGTCGACCAGGAAACTCGGTCAGAATCGATACCACGGCATAACATATAACGTATGACAGTTTGCAACCCTCAAACGTTATACCACGATAACTCGCGCAGCGTCGCGAATTCAAAGACAAACGTTAAACTTGCCAGCGCGAAGTCAAAGGAAAGAACAGAAAGAGACTTTCATTTCCCTCCGACGAACGGTCGCGCATCGCCATTATCTCTCCCCGGGAACGGCATCGATAACAGCGTCTCGGCAGGCAGGGAGCAGTAACTCAAACGAGGATCGCAACCACGGCAGCGTGTGCAGTCTGCACGGAAACGTACCCTCGAACAAAGAGCCGCCGCGTGTATCGACGAGCTTATCGATGCGCCTTTTCCTTTTCCACGGGATTATTCGCGTCTGGAACCGGCCTCTTTTTTTCCCTCCTTCCTTCGTGGTCGTCGATAAACGCACAGAGAGCCGGCTGGATCGAAAGCAACCCCGCCTGCACCTCCGGTCGCCCCTCAGGCACGTCGTTAATCCGGGATGAAGGTGGTACATAGGTGCACGAGCACGATACGCGCTCGTCGAAGATGCATCCGATGCACGAATCCGCGTATCCCCGGATTTATAGACTTACAAGGGCTGAACGGTGCAGCATTCATCTCGTTCGGCCGATCGAGGTTGAAGGAACTACGCTCGCGTATCCGGATCCGCCTGCATTATATTAATTAAATTCCCCGTTTCAGTGCGGCTTCCCCATCGTGGCCGCGATATTTCCGACTGCTGGTCGGAAGAAAGTTTTATCGGTTCCGACGAAACGCCCACGTCGAATTTCCATTATGCATATTATCGAAATGTCAGCGTCTACCCTTTCCGATTTTCCTACGTTCTCGTTATTTACGACGACAAGCTATGTATTCAGGTATATACTATGTCCGTGAAGACATAATGTATCGGTGGGTATCGTTTGTGAGTAGTTTAATTCAATTTTCTATGGAAGAAGTTAACCCATGGAAATATCCCGCGCACCATTGACTCACGCGTATAGTACTCACTCGGGGGATGATTACTCGCTTGATCAAGAACCTACTGTTTCGCGTGCTCGTTTGGTATGGTGAATCTTACGTTTCCGGAGGACGTCACACATCGTCAAGTTGGAGGCTAGACAACTGGTACAACGTAATCTCGCGTTATGGTGATTTTCATAATGTCAAGGCTCGATGGCGAGCGACAACGCCTGGAACGATACGTAAAAGGAGAGGACGTCCGGCGCGGTTTCATGAATAAGAAAAAAGAAACGAGGACGAATGCGATGCTTGAGGCCGAGGATTTGTCAGAATGAAATATCTAAATCCCCGCGTATATTAAAATATTCCAGGGACGAAGATGGCTGCTGCGTTACACGGCATTAGTCCTTTGATATCGCGCGCCGGATGTCCCGTCGCGTCTAACTCTTTTATGCCTTGCAAAAGCCAACTTTGCCTGCCATTTTCTCCAAACCAGAGCAGATAATGGCGCGTTCATGCGGATCCAAGATGGAAAATACGCGAGTTCTCGGAATATTCGCAAACGTCACGCATCGGGTACACAGGCTGACGCGTTTGCCTTCTCTTTCGCGTCGTGATTTGCCCGTGATCTAGATGAAGAGCGTAATTTATCGGAAAAATCGATTAGAGACGGAGGAGTGTGTCGTTTACCAAGCTACCTTGAAAGGGGACGCCTGTGAACGTTGCAGCCGAGTGATATCAACGACCAAGATTTCGTAAATGCTTATGTATTATCGGAACTACGGGTAATTCGTGTTGCATTAACGTTCGGTACACATACACGCGTGTCGTATTATGCGTGAATATTCTTACCTCTTGATCTTAACAAATACGATCGCCTTCGTGGTGTCGGTAAATGGGGTGCGATTCGCGATGCGACGGAAACATCTTCCGTGGCATCAACCTTCCATGCACGGGCTGTGAATTATCGTTGATGAAATACGCTGAGAGGAACTACCGTATTCGAGGATATTTACGTGATATTTCAGTTAATACTCCGTGGCAGCAAATAATAATACTCGCTCGTAAGGTTCAGTTTTGTAAGAACTATTGCAAATAGCGTGACAAAATATTTCCATCGCCGCGAGCACCGGTCCCGGTTCAATTGCTCCTCGTAATTCTCTAAAACAGCACGATGGCCTATCCGCCGTGTGTTTGTACGCAATTTGCACGAAACAATTGTACTACTCGATTTGTACACGGCTGCGTATCCCTGCCGTTGGAATACTCGTTTGGAATAATAATATGCTCGTGTAAACATATACATATATTTATACATGAAATTAAATTATCGTTATTGTTGCTTCACTCTTGTAGACGATGCACTATCATGGCACGGTGCTCTGTACGGCTTACTGTACGAAACCAATGTCCGGTGAACATAGTTCTCCAAAATGCTCGATCCAGAAACACAGACAGGGACTGACATAATTACCGACTAATATGTGTTTACGAACATGATGCAGCAATACTGTGTAAATACCTGAGTATAATTATGTTTTCTCTCCTAAATGGAAGAAGCGTCATGCGGTGTGTATGCGCGCGTATGTGTGTGTTGGTGTAAGTGTAGCACATCGTAGACGTCTAGACGACAGATAACACGGACGAGTCGGCGATAGCCTTAACAGGCAGGAATGAGGTATAATTAACCGCGTTAAAAATTCATTAAACGAACGACGTACGAGGGAGAGTGGAACGATCTCGCGCGTCTTATCTGTCGATTGTTGAAGGAAAAATGAACGAACGAGCCGGCGAATTATCGACTAACAATAAGTCCGATACGTTGTCAATCCACCCCCGACGTTTTCTTTCTCTTCCTATTACCATTTCCTCTGCGATCTCGTCTCGACTCGTCTCGCAATCGGTCAATTTTATGCCAAATTGTTCACGATTTAACTGTATCAATTTTGACGAGTCGAAAGCACTTTTCGTTTCCGTTCTTCGCGAGTCTTCTTCTTCTCTTTGTCTCTCTCTGGTTCCATCCATTCTCTCCTCGCGAGCTTTCAAGCCGCGAAACGGATAGTCACGACCGATAGTCCTCGCACAGGGGTGGGAAACTTCTGAAAGCCATCGCCGTTGCACGTTTCTCGGTTCAGCTTCTTTTTTTTCGTTACAATTCGATTTCTTTTTGATTTGTTTCTTCTCCGTCTCGTTGGTCGTCGTTTTTCCTTCCTCGCCTCCATCTTCTCGCGTTTTGTTCCTCCGCGTCGGATTTATAACGCGTCGCGGTACATCCCCTTCCTTTAAGACGGCGAATCCTGCAGCTCCTGCTTCTGCTTCTGCTGCACTTTGCCGATATTTTCCGCCTCCCACACCGTGTCCGGAAGTTTCGTTCCCAACGTTTCCGGGAAGATCAGCGACAACAGGCCCGCGACCAGGCCCATGCATCCGAAGAGAATCAACGGTAGCCCTGGCATGATTTGTGCCTGTATCACGGACAGACGCGTGAAAAACGCTCGAAAAAAATCGCGAAAAAGGCGTGAAAAGGGCGCGAAGAAGGCGTGAAATAGAAGTGAGAGGAACGAGGAAAGGCGAGATTATATCTTTTCCCGTGGAGAACTCGTTTTACGACGGGAGATACGCTAGATGGTCGCTAGAGCAGGAACACCCTTATCCGGGATGATAAAGTTTCGCGAAAGACAAATAGCGTATCGATCGGGATCTTTGTATCGTCGCTGTCGTACCGAGTATCGTGCAAGTAAGCAACAAGCGGTTCGTATCGGTACACTGTACGATGTACATTCTTGCGGCGGTCGTCGACTCACCAAAAGAGGAGTTTGCGGTGACAATATTGACCCCATGCGGCCAATCATGCTGCAAATTCCAAGGAGGGAGTGTCTCAAGTTCGTGGGGAACAGCTCCGCCGTGTAAATGTAAATCGTGGAGAAGGACATCGTGATGCACCATTTCCCTCCCATGTACAGGACCAGTCGCAGGAAGCTCAAGGAACCTGGAACGGGTTCGTTATGTACCGATACTTGACATTCCTTCTAATTAATTCGAGGTCTTCGAATATCTCGCGATGGAGCGTAAACGAAGTACTGGAAATTTGGCGTGGAAATTCCGGGAAAATCCGGGGAATTCCAGGAAAATCCAGGTTACCTGTCGGTACGAATTCTATGGCCAGACAGAATGCTCCGCTGAGTAAGAAAGACGAGGAGAGGGTAGCTTTACGGCCAACGTAATCGGTGAGGAACCAGGTCAGAAAATAAGCCGGGATTTCAACGATGGCGACTAGTATGAAATTAAGGTATTTGTCACCGGCAAAAGCCACCGAGTTCAGAGACAATCCGTAATAGACGAAGGTGTTCGTCAGCCAGCAAAACGAGCAGGCCAGCAAGCGAGTGAGCATCACCGGGCTATTCAGAATTTGCATCACTGGCGACCTCTTTTCGGACACTACGATCTGCTCCGTCTGGAAGATAAGACATCATATATCGCCACGAACTCGGAATCCTTTTGATAACTTTCCGGATTAGCCCTACCTTCTCGGTCTTCGCCATGTTCAAATCTTTGAACGCTCCGATCGCCTCCTCCGAGATCTGTAGCCCGTTAATACGCGCCATTTTCCGATATATATTCTCCACCTCATCGTATTTCCCATTCGCCAATAGCCACCTTGAAAATGGCATCATTGTGTTTGTGTGTTTTTCTCTTTCTGTTCTCTGTTCTTTTATTTCTTTTTCCTACGGTAATTTTCGAAGGGGGAAACGATTATGTGAATGTGTGTACAGGACACGCTTTATCGTTAACCTATGCCGTAGATGGAGAAAAAGGATCGGTAAGAAATCGATCCGCTGGAACGGAGGTTAGGCGAACCTACGATTACGAGAGGCCTACACGCGCGAGGCGATTCTCGTATCGGGATCCGCGTTAATTAATTAAGGGATACCCGGGTGCAACGAAGGGCGCGGTGATGTCAAAGGCCAACCGGTTAATTGATCGGATGTCGTGGAACGCAACGACGGTTTCTCCGGCCGTTTAAGAGGGTTCATTTCGAGATCGTTAACGAGACTCCCGGACAATGCGAATTAAACAGTCACCGAAGGAAATTACCTGACTGATTCCGGGATCAGGACGGGCAGTAAGACGGCGAGCAATGCCGGACCGTACACCATTCGGAGGATCAGACGCCACGATCTAAGCCACATCGCGATCAATCCGAGCAGCATCTCGCCAATTGCGAACATGCAGCAGATGATGGTGCTGGTTAGAACTCTGCCTCTCACTCCCGCCATTTCCATCCCTGAAAACGATCGTGGTTACACGTTGATTCTGATCCGTAAGGGATCACGTTTCGCTTATGAAGCCGTGGATGCTCGGAAAGTTTCCCGTGGAATAGCGCGAAATTACGGAAACTAGACCATGCATTGTAACGCGCTCCGTGGTATTGAAGCATGGACTGAAATTATAGCCGTGCCAATAGCGAACTGGAGGACCACGTTGGTTACCTTCGGTTACGTTTTTCGATAGCGGAAGGCTCCTACATCGAGTGGTCGGCGGCATGTGAAACATGGCCGTTATTTATATCAGCATTATTCACGTCGAACATCTTCCCTTACTTTGCCTCGTTATTAACTCACCTAAAATAAATCCAGCCCCGTAGATACCAGCCGCGACAGTCGCGTCGATAAATTCGAACACGAGAAACATCCAATAATTCACCGAAAAGGAATGTATCAGGCCGCTGATTCCGCTCAGGAACGTGGTGAGCGTGAGTATCGTGCGTCTTCCGTATCTGAAAGCAACGATACGGAATATAAGCACTCGCGGACAACTCTGCGTCGGCTCGGTTTCCTCCCTTATCGTTGCGAGCCACCCGAAAACTCTGCCGAACCGTTTCGATACCGCCCCAGCAAGATTTTTGACACGGGAAAGAGAAACTGCCGGGAAACGAAGGGAAATCTCGGGAAACAACCTCCAAGTCCGAATCATTATCGTAGATCTCCGGAAGTTCGTCCAAAGTACAGTTTCATTTAAATACACTCTCCCCTCTGGACAATCTCGGGTATTCCCCGACTTCGAATTAGAATTTGCGAGCGACCAACTTCCAAGTCGTCCGTCGGAATAGCCAAGTTCTCTCTGCTGACTTTCCACCACGTGTCATAAAACATTCTAAAAACCGAAGATTCCCGATTTCCAACTCTCAACGGTGGATTCGGCAAAGATTTCCTAGGTCTCGGCGTAAATTCGCCGAGGTTCGGATCTTCGTGAATTATCCAACGTTCTAACACTGAACTTGCCACGATCGATCAAACGACCGGCGAAATGAGTCAGAAAAAATGAAATAAGAATAGAGGTATCGAAAAATCGAGTTCGAAAGTCTAATTTCTTCTATCGGCTTATTTAAATATGTATAATTCGACAATTATACCGCGAAAATTTCGCAAGGTATGATCCGAGAATAAATAATTAGAAATTCAATAATTGCCTGCGCGATAACTCTGTCAATTCTCGACTCGAATTTTTCAAATTTTTATTAATGAGGTATATTAATTTGACCAAAATCTTAGAAACAATCATATTGTAAATTAAGAAACGGTCATGCAACGATGGTGACAGGCCTGCTAGAGGTTGCAGGCCAATACCGACCTTTGGACTTCAAGGACCTTCGATACTACGTAGGCATCAAGGGGTCGGTTTTTGGGTTTAAAAGGACCTGCTGTGTAGAACGCTTTTAAAGTATTGTAACTCATAAGGACGTGTTTAAACCTCTTATTTTTTATATTCGCATAAGTGTATATATTCCACCTATATTAAACTTTATATATCTATTAATGTACAACTGAATACGATTACTTCCCTGCACGCTAAACGCTTTGATTTCATCCTAGAAATTCCAACAAGTCATTTAGTCTATGACGAGTTCAGTGTATTTTCGTATCGTTAATAATTTATTTTGTGGCAAGTTTCTCTGTGAGAGTAGACGAAGATCGAAGACCTGTTGATCTCGATCGGATCTTAGCTAAAATATTAGCTAGTCCGAAAAACTTTCTTTTTCACCCTCTCCCACGATCGAACGTCGTTAGACATCCGGCTCGGACCAGGAACTCCATTTCCCGGGCCTGGTTCAATCCGGTCGTCGCTAATTAAGGGCCGAAAATAAATTGCAATGATTATTTCTCACCTGTCCGATATGTATCCGGCGAATATCAGCCCGACGAATTGGCCGACGTTATTTATCGTGCCCACGAGGGTGAGTTTCCATCGATTGGTGTCGCAGGTAAGGTCCCACTGTGTCGAGAAAACGAAGGACAAGCGTGAGTCACCTAGGGTTGCTTAGCTTCGGTCGGTCGAAAGATCGGTCGGTTTTACCTCGCTGAGTATCGTGTTCTCCGATGGATCGTAGATCCACGAGTCGCATTTCTCGGTGGCGTTACTGAAAGTCTGATTCGTGCACGCCCCCGTGTGATTTCGGACCACGTAACGGGTGCACTTGGACATCTCTGACATGTCTGGAACGGAGGCCGCCATCCAGGGCGTGTGGAACTCCGTGTTCGATGAATTCTCGCATTCTGGCACCGCGCACCTGTTATCCAATAATTGCTTTCTTTTTTCCTGGACATGGAAACCCGTCGAGAACAATCGAGGTAGCGGGAGAATCGCCTTTGCTAGAATATCCCGGGTTACCGAATATTTCTACCATCCGTGGAAAGTACCCGAGATATCCCGATACGAACAACGCAATGCATTCGTGAACAGTCTGTTCTGTTCCTCGCGATATTGCCTTCTAGAGTCCCAATCTAAGAAATCGCGTTGGAAACTTAGATGATAGCGTTTGACAAGCGAGCTGCTTCGATAAATTCCGCTGAAACGAATGTGTCTGCGGTAATCGCCACGCGCGTCTGACACTCGTCTACCGCGAAAGGATTAACAAGGTTGCTAATAAAGTGATCGATTATCCGTCGCGCCGATTACATAATTCGAAGTTCGATCAATCCCCGTAGTCGCAGGGCATTAGGTGCTGCTCGCTGATTGCACTTGACCGGCGCGCATTATTCAAGCCCCGTTCTCCAGAGTTTATTCGTCCAGGCTATAAACGACTAGCTCCGCTCGAGGCGAACGCCGTCCGAACAAAGGAGGTGCGGATGCACGCGATAAATTACGCGAAGAAGAAGAGAAGAAAAAAGAGAAAAAAAGGGAAAAAGATGGAAGGGAAAAAAAGAATCGTTCCTCGAATCACGGTTGCATCAGTGGTAACGTACCTGTATTTAACTTCGCCTGCTGTGAACACGTAGGCAAGCGTGAATCCTGCTGACAAGAACAGAGGCAGGCTTATTATCACGAACATGATCATTTGATAGTATCCGATGCGATCCACTTCCTGCTTCCTGCCGGGACCTCTCTTTTCCCCTGCGAAAACACGGTTTCCTGGCGATCAACGATACCGTCCAATTCGCCTGGTCTAAAATCCTACGTGGCATGCAGAAGCGAGTGGAAAGAAGGGAATCGGGTGGACCGGGGAACGCTCGATCGGCAGAGATAGAGCGGATCTTCCGGCGAAAATCGCTGTCTGCCGTTGACACGCCATATTTCTTTCGCCTGGCTCGCGAGAAACGGTGGACAAAAATGAAGAGCCGCGGCTTCACGCCCCTTTCTCGCGTGCACGTAATCACGATCAGGATAATTTCCTTTTAAATCACGCGTTCCGTTTCGCGACCGACCATTAGCCAGGTAATCGTACAGAAGGCCATCGATTTATTCGTCATTGCTAAAATCGACGCTTTTTTCTTCCTCTGTCTCTCTTCCTTCCACTTAATTCCCCGTCGACGTCGGTCGAACAGACACAGGAACGTTTCACTCGGTGTAAACTTCGACTAGAACGTCACTCTAATTGATTTAGCCGGCATCGTTAATGAATCGCGTCACCGAATAACACGGACGACCTTCTGCTTTCCTTTCCAGAGAACGGGAGAAGAGGGACTAGGAGAAACAACCGCTCCGTGGTAAACATAACGTTGAATAAGCAGGAAATCGGTATTCCACGTTCTCGGCATGCATCGTCGCGATTCCCGAGACGCGCGATGACGAACGATTAACCCGAGTTGCGACTAATCGAGACGAATAGACGTCGAGTAAATCGTGTCAGTGGCTCGCGAACGGGCGCGCGATTAATCAGTGCGATAATTAATACCATGACCTATCTCCGTGGCACGCGAATCAGTCAGATACGAAACTTTCACTGGGAAGATAATGGTAAGTATACAAGATTTGTTCGCGTAGATAGAAAATCGCGTTCGATCGAAAGATAGAAGCAAAGGAATTACCTTCGGAGCCATCCTTGGCGTTCGACGCCGACGACGAGTCGTCGTTCTGCGAGCAGAAGAGCTTCATGCTGTCCTCCTCGTCGCCTCTCAGGCTGCGAACACACAGATATTCGAGAATTATGCCGATCCGCGGTCGTCGCTTCTTCGTTGACCCAACGTCGAGGGTCAAATCGCTGCTCGATCGTCGACGGCTCGCGGAAAACGGGCGGGAACGACGCAATTGCGCGCGAGTATTACATAAAAGCGGCGAGATCGGACCGCGAGCTTTTACCGAACGCTGGCGAAGGGGAGTGGAGTTAAAAAAAAAGAGAAAAGCAAGAGGGAACCAGTCGCGAACGGGACTTTCACGCCTGTCGCCTGTCATCCGGCCGACGACCAGTACGCGATAGAGAAACGAACGATCGGCCAAGGGACACCGCGGGGTTCGCGAGCTATCGTCGTCGTCATCGCGGTTGTCGATGCAAATCGTCGATGTAGAACTAACTATTGCCTGCGACTGCAATATCGGTGAGTAACAGTAATCGTGGACGACGAGGCCTAGCGATAAATAGCGATAAAAGGCAAACTCGCTGACCGCGTGCTCGCACGAACGCAATGCGCGACCACGACCAACTGCGCACCGCGAATCCGATTTTCTACTGGTTCGATGGAAGCGAGGGGTCAACAACGAGAAAGAGACGGTCAGGGGACAAACCAGTGCAAACGAAGGCGTTCACATCGACCCGTGCATACGTGAAAAATTAACGCGACGTCGAAACTCGTTCCAACTCGCTGTCTAACCCTAGCCGCTGATTACCGATCTTTGACCGAAGCTACGCCAGGCTTCCACTCGTTTTCGATGTCGATTCCGGTTCCGATCGCGTCGACGAATTCGCGACTCGTGGTAAAAGATGCAGGAAAAGACGAAGACGTACTTCGACCAATTGGATAACCGTTGATCGATGTCGTCTTCGCTTGACAGCGACCTTTCCGCTTGGAATGCCATTGACTTTCTAACACGAACGAGCACTTCTGAAAGTGTTGCACGTCCCGATACCCGGCATTTATATGCCGTTCGCGACAAACCAAGTCGTCTCCTTGACGATCTATCCGTAGACAACTGTACACTGTCGTTTCAACGTTAGGAAGAAGAAAAGACTCGACGGTGCCCTTCAATTTCGCTAGATAAATATGGACATGGAAGCATGGCGATGGCCGCGGGAAATAAGCACGTTCCGCGGTGTCGTCGTAAATCATCGGGTTTATTGTTATTTATCGTCGACATGTAACTCCCATGTAATTTCCTTGCACTTTTTTCCATTTGAATGCGCGTTCCGGGATAGATAAATCGCGATTATTGCAAGACGCTCGAGAATTTCGAACGGCTGGAGAATGCCGATGCTCGAGCATCGGTTAATTGTTCGCGGATTTCCTTTTTTCCTGAACATAATGGCTGCTCGCGACGTTCCTTCGTGCTTTTCTTGCGGGTAAAAAAGTACGTGATAATTCGCGGATACGCGGACTGTTGTTTGTACGCATTGTTACGCGTATCGTAACGTCGTCAAAGTACGAGCGGACGCGAGGAAAACGGAACACGACGTCGTTGAATTGGCCGTAAAGATCGGATCACGACTGCACAGGTCGAGTTCGTCCTTCGCGTGTAATTTCGCGTCTGCTCGTTCAGACACTCGCCGGAATTAACATATATTTAACGATTTAAACGATCTGTCCGGCTCAAGAATCCTAATTCTTCAATAAAGACGCCACTGTCAGAGATCTGTATCGCGTTACCGTCCAGCCAGTATCTTTTTCCAAGCGTCCTCTAATTTTTCCTTCCACGCTCCGACCCGCTTCAACGAATGGGCTGATTAGAAGCTGCTTTTACGACTAGTAATGGTTATTAAAAGAAGAAAAGACAGGAAACTTGTAAAAGGAGGAATGTTTTTGATAATCTATGGCTGAAGCATATGGCTGAAGATTCCCTAAGGCTGAAGATTAGGATATTTTACTGGACGAAAGTGAGATTTTCGATTATTAGTAACGCTTTACTCAAATGTCTGTCAGCAACGACGAATGCTTGCTCGATATCCAACCGGAAGTTTTCCTCTTGTCAGCTAGGATGACCCATATAGGGCACCGAAAGCCTCCGAGTCAACTGAATTAAAGTCTAACTCGACTGGTCAATTACAATATCGCGATTCGATCAGTGGAAACGAGGCGGAAGCAAACAAACGAGTGCAGAAGCACAAACGTGATCTACTCTATCGTCTACCTTGAAACACGGTCCAGTTATGCGATCAATTGTAACCATCAACTTAAACGCTCTCATCTGATTCCCATTCTTCTTAATTTGACATGCAATTGTATCCAAGCAAGCCTCCGACGAACACGGCACAATTTCGCGCTATCGTTTAAGCGAAAGGAATAATTGCACCTATTCTACTCTAGATTAGATCTACCTCGATCAACCGGGACAAACGATCCTGGATCAAATTCCGCGTAGTTCGCAGTCACGATCGCGCATCTACCTTCCAGACATTTCTCCCAGTGACTTTCGTTCGAGGGAAACGGAAAGTTTAACGAGATTCTCGAGTGAAGAATACGCAAGGATATACGAAAATTATTCGATAGTAGCTACTATACAACTGTCCAAATGTCATACATGCACCACTTCAGTCGCCATATCTAAAATCTATTAAGATAGGATGGCACTGATAAGACGAATAAGTATGAAAGCATTCGATAAATTATCATTTATCAAGCGGAATTGCAAAGTAGGTTAGAAGAGGAATGACATAATTTAGAGGAAAAATATTTAATGTAATGTAAATTTGTAGAATCAATGCCAAAGTGATAAAACGAAGTAGATACCCTACGAGATATTAACATGGTTAAAATTATTAATTTTTTATGTAAGGAATCGTTTCATTTCGTTTTTTTGTAACTACAAGGAATGACGTTATTTTTCTCACAGTATCTTGCGTTTATGATGTGAACAAATTTTTTCTTCTATCCTACATATGTATTCCTATTACTTGTTTCGATGTATAATTACTCGAGAAACTGCACTCACGATCGCCCAGGACGTCTTCCTATTCGCGACGTGTGTCTGCGCTCGAAACGGAGTATCACGCGTGATACAGGTGTGCAGCCGCTTTTCGTGTCCTTTCACGATCCGCCTACGCCATCTTCTGTACAGCGTTCACCGGTTGCGTGTTGCACGTTAATTTCTCGACGCGGAACACCGTTAAGCAGAAAGATCGGCAATCGACACGTGCCGAGCGCGCTACATTGTCGAATGACCACTGTCTTGTTGCTCCAGCAACTGTCTTTGAAGGTAAACGTATGCCACAACGCAGCTCTGTCCCCGATAAACACCAGGGCAGTGGGAGAAGTAAAACAGACCGGGAGGGAGAAGGATCGGTCGCTCTTAAGTTCTGGCCTGTCCGATCGGCATGCCACTCGCTCGGTCACCGGTCGTGCCACGCAACTTTCACGTGAAGCGTGTCCGCCCATGGGATAATCGCTGGCCATTTCGGAAACTTGCGGCAGAGCATCTGTTTGTTCCAGTAACCGGGCGATAAAAATGTTTGAGAAGCGATAAAAAGTATCGCCGATGGAATAGAAGTAGATGGAAGGAGCAACGAGGTTGAAGTATATCGCGTTATGAATCTCGCAAGAAAGCCATTCGGTAATAAGAGAAACGATAAAACACTTGGAATGCTCTTCGGCGGAAAACCCATGCGGAATCTCCATAATTCTACACGCATCGCGATTAGCTGCAGCCGCTAAAAGCATTTCCAATGCAGAGATTTTATTGCCACCGGACGATTACGTTACGTAAAATACCACAATGATACACTTCGTGCTCTACTAAGTATCGGTTAATTACTGAAATTCCACGGTTCGTTGCTTTGTTTCTCAACTATTTAACGATCGTACCGAGCAATCCACGCGATCCTTACCGAGCGCATTGTGTCGCTCCTCGAACTTGCGCCCGCCATTACGCGGTCCCTCGCGATGTCCTCGAAACTCGCAACCTTCATGGAAACGTACAGTTTCACCGTTGCAAAAGTTATAGAATAAACGTGGGGAAATTATTTCGTCCTTCGTCCATTTAAATATTCGAATTCTCGATAAAAACGTAATCGTAAAGGACAATTAAAGTAGCCACGACTAGGAAAGCCAACGACTCGTATCCCACAAAGCACGATGATCTCATCGTCCATTTTCCCGCCGAAAAGACACTATGGCGCTCTTAATTATCAGCCATCTAACAAGACGCGTCAACCCAAATTATCAACCGTATTACCGACCCCAGTTTCGAAACGTTCTAAACGATCTAAACGATGGAATCATCGTCCCCAGTGGGAAACCCCCATGGCGATTTATTTTTTCCCGCGTTATTTCGAAAATATCGCTTTCTTGAAGCACGATATCCACCGTTTCAACGCCTCCGCGCGCGCGCACGCGTCATTGTTTTGTTTACGTTGGAAAGCGGCGGGTTCGCTAGTCGAATAATGCTCGGTGCACGTGGGCAGGAAAAGCAGCGCGATTTCCCGCGGTTGGCAGACTGACAGATAAGAATGAACGAGCGAGTGTGCCGGCGTGCACGCTCTCTTATTCGCGTATGCGTATTTTTGTCTTCTTCGGTTCATCGAAAACAACCGGAGAAAAATCGAATGAAACTGGTTTACGCCGGCTTAGACCGGATGAGACAGTTTAGTTGCAAGTAACGTGCCACGGTTTATTGTTACATCGACCGTTCTATGCAACGAGTCTATGGGAAAAATCGGTTTCGCCTCGATTGAATGAAAGGCCGATATTTTTGGTCCGTTTTCGTTCATCTCCCGCGTCGATCTGCCTGTCACGATACCGCGTTTCATACGCCATGTTCCAGCGATTGAACGGGGGACGAAATAACCACGTATCGACCGCGATCGGTTTTAATAATCGAATTCTTCGACTAGATTATTCGAATAGTTGATTATTTCGCTGGCGAGTACGGGTTGACGGTGGTGTAAGTAACAATAGAAGTTAAGTTTGTTTGATCCGAGCGAAAATCCCGGAGTAACCGTGAATGAAGTAACGAACACCGCCATGTTGATTGTATGGCGATCGGAAAATGCGCGCTAAACTTCGAAATGATTCGCGGTTTTCTCGCAGGATTTTTGTGCACGATGCTTCCCTGTTATAATTGAACAGGTGTGATCTATGTCTGATCTATGTGATCTATAATCTCTGTCGTCGAGATCAACACACGCGATCGCGTCCGAACTATAACGTTCCGAAATTGATCCATAAATCTCGTAACCGAAGAATACATCCGATATACGGAATAACAAAGAATATCGAGTTTCTCGTAACATACCGTACAATTTTATCAATAAAAGGAATGATTTCCTTAACCAAGAATCTCGTAATCATTCGTAACAAGTGTCGAATGTCTATAATCAGTCTTCTTTTTACCCTACATTGACCACGGGTAAATAAAGACCTAGCAAACAGCACGAAATCGCGTTATGTAAATACGTATATTATTAGAAAAATGATAAGTGCGAATTTCTCGAACGCGGTTTATCGGGTCGTACCGAAACGGGTTCGTGTCTCATTAAAAATTCGTCGGGACGTCGATAAAAGTTTCTTTCGTAATCGAACTGGTATCGGATAGCCACCCTTTCGTTCCGAATTTCTGTCGGAGAATTTCTCCCATTAATCGTCGTTACGTCGCGTCACGTCAAAATCGACGAGTCCTCCTACGTGTACTTTCGATAAAATATTTTGCGATCGTGATCGCGTAACGACGATGAGGAGGGAGAAAAGTAGACAGAAAAGGGGAGGAAAAAGTAAGAAGAAGGAAGAGAGTGTACAATGGAAAGGAGAACGTAAGGAGGTCGGTAATTGTTCGCTGCACAAATATTTGTAGACTACTCTAGTTTGTCGAATTAAATAACGCGCCGTGACCTGGTTAAAAAAGAGAAGAAAGGAATATAAGGTCGGGTGCAGTGAAGGGAGGTAGAAGAAAAATAAAATTGTCGATAATGGATCGTTTATCACGATGATTGAACAGAAGCTGCGTTCATAAGGCAAACGACAATTCGTTTGCACGGCGATAAACCGCGTTTGTTTAAGACTTCACTCCAGCCCATCTATTGCTCCGCTAATCTCTTCCAATGATCCGTTATCGTGGAAAAAAGAAAATACCGAAATCTTCGTCGAAATTTTCATAGAAGATCTCTGGTCCCGATGAAAAATCGATCCATCGAATCGCTGGAACACTGAGCCTAGATCGGAACAACACTGGTGTCCCATTCGCCGATACGTTACGCGTTCATCGTCAAAGAGAAGCTTTTCCTCCTGGATCGTACGACGCATATCGACAACGACACTCGTCGTTAAACGAGACTTCTCCTGGCAGAAAAATCTTATCTACTCGCCGTTCAATAAAACAAATAAGAACGATGACGGGAGCCAGGCAATTATTTGTCTCGGAGAAAAAGATCAGGCCTCGCGAAGGACAGGGAAAAATGACACGTCAGTCCGAATAACCTTCTTCGACGCTCCAAATCCGTTCCGCTCTCGAGGCAAAGCGGACAAATTCCGCGTCACATCGAGAGTCGGTCGTGTCGTGCAATACAAACTCGTGGAGGATGAAAATAGGAATAGGGAAAAAGGATTACCCGATTACTCGGATCACGCCGCACCTAAGCGTGCTCGTAAATAGCAGTTAAATTCTGCAAACATTTCGAAGGCCGGTTTCGACGCGACACTAATGATTCCCCGCGCGAATTAGTCAGCGAAGCATAATGGCAAGATAAATGAGCCCAGGCCGTGCGTCGCGGCAGCCCCGAGTAATTTCCATTCAATTTCAGCGCGTTCGACCGGATGGCTGACGAACCCTGGCCTACAGGAGCGTCCTCCGCGCGTTGTCGCGCGACGGCCATCGCCGAGGATCGGCGAAAAATCGGCACGCCTGGAAAACGAATCACGCGACCGATCATCCAGCTCGAATCGGCCTGCGACCTCGCGTTAACGCGCTTCGCGTCGTGACGAAGTCTAATTCTAATAAAGGAGCAATCGAATGAAGCCTTAACAGATTCGAACGCGCGTAGACGGACTCCGGCGCAATAGCTCGTTTCCATGAACGTTCGACCCATATCTGCGGTTTTCGATCCTTGCCGATTTGGACTAAATTTCGCTTAGATTTTATACCCTCTGTCCATCGATAACCGATCGTTCCATAGTTCTGTCAGACGGTCGGCCACGTCATTCGTCTCTCATCGATCCGTTTCATCGTTCGATAGAATTAATCGCAATCCAATTAGGTTAGTTAATTCGTCTGACGGTTATTACTCCCGATCTATTTCTAAGATGGATTTCTACATCAGAGTACTCTCGACAATGATCAGTCGCGAGTAATTGGTCCGACGTGCTTATAAAGACACAGATTTTCTCGAAATTAACGGATATCGCGAGAAAAAGGGTACGAGAAGAATGAGATACTCGTTAAGGCGAAATCAATCGCGTTAGAGCTATGTGGTGGACAGATAAGAGACAGTTACTCTACTCGTTTCTCCGTTTGTCCTCGTGCCAATTATCCAGTCGCGTAGTTTCATGCAACGAAGACGCGTCGCAATTATTAATTCGTCGCAGCGAGATCGCAAGGCGTATCCTATCGTCCATCATCGAGGGACCAGTGTATTCTTTTTGCCCCGCAGAGTTATCGAAAGTACGCTTTATTAGCGTCGCGCGAGTCGATTGAACGCGATGGTGTCTCGCAAAAGGAGATAAGCAACCACGACTCGTCTTTGTCACGAGGAGTGACAAGTACACGCTGTTGTACGTTCGTTCATGGCGATCGCGAAGGGTGGAAAGAGTGGGTTAAGTTATTTTTAGGCGATCTATGACTGAGAAATTTTGGACGCATCGTTGCGCGATCGGGAAACGGAACGCGTGGAAGCCGTGGAAAAAGGCGGAAAATCCGCGATCGCCGCAGAACGCGAACGCGGAGGAGAAAAGAGGAGAAAGAATGGCTGGGATTAAAAATCGGAGAGGATAAATCGGAACGCAAGGCGCGATTATCGGCGGTTTCTCGCACGCTCGTTACGCGCGAAGGAACGCGCGCGGCCGTCGAACGCGGGAGAAGGGTAAAAGCACGTAGGTAAGCGTGAAATACGCGTCCGTGTGAATTACTTACATTCTAGAGCCCATCCTGGACCCCATGATGCTGCCACGTAGAAACTCGTCTAATGCACTCGAACCGCGAGAAGAGAGGTTGCCGTTAAAGCGGAAAAATGTTCCCCTCCGCGTGCGCCGCGAGGAAGCCGTCGAAACCGCTCGACTTTGCGCCGTTGGGGCACTCTCCTTTGTCCTATATTCACAGCTCACGAAGCTTCAGACACTCGAAAGTTTGTCGGTGCTTAGTCATACAGAGGCGGCAGAAGTTTGTACCCGGTATTAAGTAGGAGGAGAAGCGATGCACCGCGGTCGGTGAATACGGCGAAAAGTCAGGGGAGAGACGCGAGGCCATCGTGGGCAGCAGCGTGGCATTTTTCCGACTCTCCTCTCTCTATCTCTCTAACTCTCTCTCACTCTCTCTCTCTCTCTCCCTGTATCTCTCTCTCTCCCTTTCTCTCTCTCTCTCTCTCTCTCTCTCTCTTTCTCTTTCTCTCTCTCTCTCTCTTTCTCTCTCTCTCTCTCTCTCTCTCTCTCTCACTGTCTGTCTTATCTGGATTATTGTAAAAGTTGGGTCAACAACTCTGCCTGCGACGGGACATGACTTCGTCGTTCTACGAAACTGATTGGACATCCACGCGTATCGCCTCGGTTCCATCCATGAGGATATCTGTTTGCCACTACGTTGCGTCTCCTCCGAACGCCGCCACCCACTTTTGTGAGACACGAAAGGAAACGAAACGCGACGTACTCTTCGCGTAATTACGAAGTACCGGTCATGGCCACGTTCTTCTCTCGTCTTGTCTCGTCTCGAAAAATCAACAAAGATAACTCGACGGATTTGATACGTGTCCCAGATGAAACTGATAAACCGATCGAACTCGCGATCGCGTTCCGATAATCGAAATCCCCTGCACTTACGCGATACGGAATGCTTACTAAGATTCTGCTCCTGGCCGATCGTCATGGAAACCCTTTTAAAGACGTACACGACGTTTTCAGAGCGTCGATATATAGTTTCATCGTACAATATATAGGAGTTTCTGCAGATGTTGATAACCGATTCTGAGATTCTGTGCGATGTCGCAGAAAGCGTGTACGGTTTGGGTTAGATTGAATACGATAATTATTAGACGATTTTATCTCGGGGGTAAACTTATAGCGATTAGAAAGTGGATAATATATCGGTGAAAGTTCGACGGACTTATCGTATGTACTCTGTTCGTATTGTTTATCTGTAAACGATAAACGAGACTTATTTCTAATCTTAGTGATCGATTATTATGTTTAGAAAATGAGTTTTAATTAAATTGTAATGCAAGGTAATAATAGAGATTGGTTTAAGTAGAGAATACTTCGAGTACAGTTAATTTATCGAAATGAGATCGCTTCTTCCAATAGTAAATTTTTAATCTGTCGCGCGTATCTTAAACCATTCTTATGTAATTTTCATTGATTATTCGTATCAAATTGCGATAAAACGTTTCTGAAGCTATCCGAGATACATTTTGTTTTAAAACAAACCGCCCTTCCGGTTTTAGTTCGGTGTTGCATCACTGAAAGGCGCGTGTATTCGTCTGCATCTTAGAATTTGTTGTTTCCAATCTATTGAAAGATGTTTAATACTGTAATTTATAGAATGAATTATATTCATTCCGTTGAATGTCAATGGAATTGGTTAATTTTGGAAAACATAATTCCAAATCTAACAATTTAGCTTGATTTTCGATTAGAGTGACGTACATATAGTACCACGCTACAGTTCTGCTCTAAACATTTTGACCGCCATGCCTTGACGAAAAGAATTCCACTTCTGTTGAACTCGCTACGTTTAGTTGATAAACGTGTTATCTATCGTTTGACAGGACCTTCCTAAACAAAAGTGTCAAGAAGCATTTAAAAATGTCAGCTACAGAAACTACAGTTATTTTTGCAAAGCTAGAGGCATTGAAAGATATCAAGTACATATACTAATTTACCTATCCAAATTCTTTTTCTTACCAAACGATAACATTTTTTAAATAATTCGTTAAACCTATATCTTCGAGTAATACAATACTTGAGTGATACAATCAGTTATGATATGATTTTATTCATCTTTTGTGAAATAAATCTTTTAAATACTCTATGTAATTTATTAGGTCAAAAACTCTCCAACTAGAAAAAATGAAGCAAAGAATTTTGCAAGAAGTAGAACAGACTGAGCAAGAGGAAAAATGTTTGTTACAGTACAAACAGGAAATGGATCTCCTTATGCAAGAAAAAATGGCACATGTAGAAGAATTACGACAAATACATGCGGATATAAATGCGGTATGATTAAATAGAGATCTAACATTCTTTCTCAATTAGATTATACATATTACCATTTATATAACTATATTAGATGGAAGGAGTTATTAAACAAGCAGAAGAAGCTAGAAACAAAGCAAGAGAAACTGCAAAATTAATTCATAATAATGATTATCAACCCCTAAAACATGATATTGATCGTATGCGTAGAGAATTTTTAGGATTAGAAAGGTTACCAGAATTATATGAAACAGAATCTGACCTTATCTCACCAGAGTAAGTTAGAATATAAAAGAAGCCTCAACTGTTTTTAATGGAATTATTATGAAAAAAATTATTTATTCACAGCTACTTTGATCGTCCAATGCAAAAAGCAGAATGGAGAGTAGAAGTAAGAGGAGAAGATTTATTGCCCCCTCTTACATTACACCATCCTGGTCATCCAGGTGGTTCCACACCTTTCCTTGCTCCTCAACCTCTTCAAGGTCCAAGTAAACCAGAACCGAGACCATTACCACCAGCCCCAGGCCCACCTGCTCCAACATTCAGGTACCACTGGTATATCGCAATTTTATATTATATTTCTATATAATATGTAAGTTACTGAATTAGTTGTATCAAATTTACACTTAAATTTATTGACATTTATTGATATTGACAAATAAGAAAAATGCGTATATAATAGTATATTAGCTTTTATGTTTTGTCTCTTTTCTTTTAGGCAACAACCACCCCCTATGAAATCATGTTTATCGTGTCACCAACAAATTCATAGAAATGCACCAATCTGTCCCCTTTGTAAAGCTAAATCTCGATCACGTAATCCCAAGAAGCCAAAGAAAAAAGACTAATCTTAATAATAAGTACTATTTATATAAATCATCAAGCATTTTTGTCATTTAATTTTAAGAATATACGTTAATGGTTCTTTTATAACTTAAACTAATTCAACTACTGTAAAAACATACGTTCATGCAAAATGTATGTATTTATAGTGATGTTTTTAACTTTTAGTAAAAAATTTATTCTTAATTTTCAAGAATAGTTGTATTAACGATTGTAAATCACTGAATTGTCACGATTGTTGGCAATTAAATCATTTCTACCCTTAATAAGATATACAAATAAACCTAAACAAGTTTTATCATTTTATTTCATTTTTTTCAATTTTTTACATTTAATTTTCATAGAACTAAAATTGATATAAACTTAATTTCTTTAAATACAAACACATATTACTTTATCTACATTCTTTATTGCACACAAAGTTTAAGAGTATAATTGTTTCAGTAAATATATACAAATTTTATTAATGAGTATTTTGCTAACTAAAATTACATTAATAAAAAATAATTTTTCTTTAATTTGTAACCTTATTTAACTTTCTCTGTTCGACATACTTGCCAAGTTTATTCAATTGTATAACGTCATTCGATTAGTTATGGTATAAGTACTTACAAATTCAAATTCTTATTTGAAAAACATTTGTTAATGTTTAAATTTAATTGTATCCTTATTCTAATCCTTATTATAAATTGAGCTAAATATCAGTCTTTACTGTTATAATATGAATATTTTAAAATTTTTTATACTCTTATACAATTTTCTTCTGTCAAATTCGTAATAAAATTTTACGATTTTAAAAAAATTTTTTTTATACCATAATAGCTATTGTTCAGATTTTTCATAATAATATTGTACAATATATATCTTTATTTTCAATCTTTTCTATCTTTATAAAATTTGAAAATATAGATATCATTTGATTGTAAAGCTTAACAAATTTATTGTTATAAAAATTTGTTTTATATTCTTTTAAAAAACTAGATGACTCTTATTATATTCCTTCATTGTTCATATATTTATTTACATATTTACGTATGTAAAATATGTATTAAAAATCTGTAAATGTCTATCAAAAATATACCTGCATTTTATGCTATTATAATTACATTTGGAACCAACTTTTAATGGCAGTGACATGTATATATGTGAAATATTAAAATTAAATTAAAAAAATACTAAAATTAAATTTCGAGTGTCATATCTGTTACATTAGCATATTTATCATTTTCGTTACTTTTTTATGCATCATTTAACTCTTGAGCATCGTTAGTTTTAAGATGGACTAAAGGAATTTCCGCATCTTTCGACAGTATTGGTCTTAATGGAACTAATCGCTTGTTTACCAGTTGTAACCATAACATGCATACTATTAATGTAAAACCAGTAATACCGAATGTATAATATGTTCCAAAATGAGTATAAATTAAACTAATGAATACTGGGCCCAAGACACGAGAAGCGCATCCAGCACCTGTCATAAAACCCATCCAAACACCTTGTGGACGAGGTCCTAGTACGTTACTGAAGATTGTTTGTATTAAAGTAACACCTAATGGATACCCTATAGTTGTAAATCCATACCCAATAAGAAATTGTGTGACTGTAAGTTGTGGTGTATAAGTACACCATTCTTGAGTACTTGGGCATCCTACAATTTCTGTACCATTGGAATCTTTTGTAATGTTACCGAATGCTATAACGTATAAGAAACTTTATGAAAAATTAAGAAGAGTGTGAAATAATTTTTATATGTATGTTACCAAGATTAAATATTATATATAACACAATGTTACCTTTATATGTTTATCACTATACTTACGTCCTAAGTAAGCAATTTTCGGAGGATCCGGTCCCCATGGGATATATAAAATACTTCCTATTATCATAGATAGAAAACCACCCAATAGCATTACTTTACGTTCATTAAATCTAAAAACATTCAAGAGTTAAATAAAGAATTATTCTTCCCAGTATATCTCGATAAAAGCTTCTACCTTTTGCATAAAGGTTCAATCATAATAAATGTGATGGATGACACTACAGCTCCGATACTCATTAACACACCCACATAATACACTGCATCTGCTTTAGTCCATGCAAATTGTTCCATAGTTAAAGCAGTACCAAGTCTATAAAATAATAAAATAATGTAAAATATGATACATAAAAAAGGTTTTATATCTTGAAATTATACTGACGTTTCAAGGAGAACAAAATTAAATACTAAGACAAAAAAGGCACAAATTAATGTCCAAGCAGCTAAATTGTCTGGTTTTATAGACTTCAATGTTTCTTCCTCTATAATTAATGAATAAAATCTTTAATTAATTATTAATATTATCTATTTTATTTGAAATAATTAATTCCTGCACATTTACCAGTTTGTTTTCCTTCACTTCGCATTGTTTCACGAATAGCAATCCGATGTTCTGTGAAATTCCATGGAAGGAATAAAACAAAATTAAGAATCCCCATTATAACATTTATCCAACCAGTCATAGTATACATATTAATAGGTAAAAATATAAAATAAACTCCATCTTCTCCAAGGGGTGTAACTGCAGTTTGTAAACTAGGACCTACCGCAAATCCCAACACCTAATACATTTTAGGATAAACTGTATAAAAAATTATATTAATTTGCATTAGAAGATGTTAAACTACATTACCTGAGCAAGAGATACCATTGAAACAGCATGTGTTCTTTCTACAAATTTTGTAGCTGCTGATAAATAAGACCTTGCTACTGCAATATTTGCTAAAAGTATTATATTATAGAAGTGAATAACAAGATTTTTATTTTAAATAATAATATTAAAATGATACAAAATATTAACCAGAACTAACTCCAACCAAAAATCTAGCAGCTATCATGTATATTTTTCGATCACCTGGTATAATCTCAAGGATACTATACATTCCTGATGCTAATATGAACAAAGCTAATGTTGATAAAAGTGGAATTCTTATAGATCCTCTTTTGTCTGCCCACCATCCTATTAAAGGAGAAAATAACATTTGTCCCAAAGGATTTGCTGCAATAACATATCCCATGAATTCTTTACCAGCGCCACTATCTAACTGTAATATTAATACAATACATTATCACATGCTAAAATTAATTGTTTTTTTATTTTGCTTACCTTCCCAAGATATGGCCATACTCCTGTAATTACAATACTGAAACCAAGAGACATAAGAAACATGGTAAAATAAATTACATAGATACTTCTCCACCGGCTTCTTCTCTCAAAGGATGTTTCCAAATTATCATCCACAGGAACATTGCTTCTGTTAAAATAAAATTTTAAGGTATCAAAGTAATTCAATATTAAAAATTTTTGATATCATTTTTTTATATAGTACCTTTTACAAAATAGTTTCTTGTACCAATCCATTACAAATGATCGTATAAAGTATTCAAAAAGCAATAAACCACACTTTCTTTGAATAATTATAAATTCTTTTATTGTAAATACAAAGTGAATATGAGTATAAATTTTAATCTCTTCAACTTATTTAATATTATCTAATTTCAATAATATAATGAAAACCTAAAACATAATAATATGTAACTTTAAATATGTATTTTATTCTAACAGATGAAAAAAATGTACATTTTAATATTTATAAATTTCCATTTCTGTTTAAAAAACTTTTCAAACATTTTAATTTCATTTTATCAAGAAAACATTTAATAATGTTACACGCAAGACAACTTTAACTAGTTCAAAAACATAAAGATTAAAATACTGCTTCCTTTCCTTAACAAATAATTAAATTACTAAATCATTATTTAATCAAAAACATCCAATATATTATAAATGAATATGATAAATATATTACAAATAAAAGATATTAGAATAGTGTTTCAAATTTGATAATTTCTTTTTTAAATTTTCACACGCTAAATTCATCACCGCGGACTTGGAAAAGATTAAACTGCACGCCACTGCTCGTATTTCTCAAATTTATCCATGTCAAACTCTTACATATTAATTTTACTAGCACAATGTAAGCTACAAGTTAAATTGATGAAAAATCAAATATAATTGGAACGCTCAATTGACTAACTTCATAATTATGAAGCATATGCGTTTCAATTCTCTCGCATATAAGTATTCATCACACTTTGTCACAGCTTCTTTATAAACTGGCAACTTTTGTTTTATACATATGTACATTTCGATGCGCATCACTGATGCGTAACGTATATCTTGTTTATTCGAACAAATTTAATCGTATCTGTCGAAGACAAAAATGCCATGTGCTTCATACCTACTAATATCTCAGGTGATTGTTTCGTTTAATATGTTGTATATACATACATATAAAGTTACAGATAAGGCTGCTATATTTTTACTTGTACATTGTTTTATCTTGATCTTATATATATGCATGTGTACACAAATGTCTCATTGTAACTAATCAATAAATATTAACTTGCATTAAAAGTTTTATTACTGTGTAATAAAAAATCTAACAATAAATTAAAAAATTATCCTCTTTTGTCTGATTATTATTTAAATATCAAAACAATCATAGTTATATTATGTTAAATTTAATTGTATATTTAATTTTATATTAAAAGATAAATGTAAATTTGATACTGAAGAATAATTTGTAACTTTAGACATCATTTATAACATTAATTTATGACTATTTACGTCAACTTAAGGTTAACTTTTTCTTAGTATGTATTTAGTTAAATGACACATTTTAAGTATCAGTTTCTCCTAAAAATTAAATTATATGATAATTGATAGGAATTATATTATAATTTCATAAATAAATATAAATGTTTTTAATAGATAATAATCAAATATAATATAATTGTAAATGAAATATTTACAATATTGTGTTCAAATATTATTTTATTGTACAATAACTGGTACAGCGTAGTTACATAGGTGTGGAAATATGAGTGGACAAGAGTAGATTTATTTATAAATTAAATAATCATGGAATACTCTTATAATCCTAGTGAAAACCAATAAAGATATTCTAAAATCATATACCATAAACGTTCTAATTTTTATATCTTCTACGCCTTCCATTGTAATATTTCTTAACTTTAGTATAATAAGGATTAATTGGTGGTGTTTCTAATTCCATATTTTTAATTTTCATGAATTTTGTATCCTTTTCAGTATATCGGTCGGCAAATTCTTTTTCACATTCTTCCAAAAACTTTTTTTGTTCATCAGTCAGATTTTTTTCCTCCATAGTTTTAATGTATGTGAATTTATGTCAACAGTATTATATATCTGTAAAAAATTGGGAAATTTTAAAACATATGATATAAACGGTTCAACATTTTAAAAATCGAAACATCTTTTCATCTAAAATTCTTTATTATCAATATTATTACTCTTTATTACCCAACGTTTATAAAAACTTTTTACGATAATATGAAATTTTTGTTACGCTTTTGTTCATGCAACAAGAATATTAATTCGGTTTTTAATACACGTTCATAAAAATACTTTAAGTTCACATAATATCTACATATTTTTATTATATCTAACCTAATTATAACTTAAACTTTTAATGCATGAAGTAATGATTTCTACTTATTAAACATAAACAAATAATTTTTCATAAACTTTAAATTTCAAGATTTAATAAAGTTTTATAGGTTATATTTACGTTTATAGGAAAGAGTTCAATATTGTATCAATCGCATCATTAATTATGTATGTCCTTTGTACGGTTATATTTTCTAGCAAAATATTATCAATTTATATTCAATTGTATTCGTTGCCTTTAAAAATAAAAATATCAATTTGTATAAATAACCAATCATATTTCAAAACACGATATACAATTTGCAGATAAGGATAATAATTAAAATAACAATTTTATTAAACTACATCATTTAGTAAAAATATATATGTTAAAATATATTAATAAAAATAACGAATTTGTAAATCAAATTTACAAATTATGAAAATGCATAATAAATACATAAAACAAATGAAGAGAACATTTCTATTAACAGGGTTTCAAGAACGACATTCTCATGTAAACTAGCTTTAAAAGATTTTGGCGGTACAATCATCAGCGTACATAATCTTATACCTTTGTGTGCTTTTCAGTTGAAATTTATTGTATACTGTTCACTGAAGATACAAGAAAACGGCACATCATTTGTAATTAACTTTAATATTACAAATATATTGCTAGTGCATTTATTTCAATTTAGGTATAGGGGGATCATATTTTACAAAAAGTAATAATTTTTGTAGAAAAATTCGATAATAATAATCCATTTCATTCAATATGAAATCCGCTATCATATCAAAAGTTGAAGTTCATGAGATTTCACAGAAACAAATACAGGTTACAAATGGTACTGAAGTACAGCAAATACCTTTAAATAATTGCGTTATTGAAGAAAATAAGAACGCAGGTAAGTTATAAATATAATTTAGAAATAAAATATACTTCTTAATCTGCATAATAAAGGTTAAATTTAATTTGCACTTATTAGTGATTGATGCTATGATACTTCAAGAAAATAATAATGATAGGAAAAAACTTCGTAATGGGAAATATATTAATATAGAATCCATATCTGGTTTAAATAAAATTAATGAAGATATTAAATATGGAATATCACAAAGAAATCAATCAAAAAAATCTGTCAAAAGAAAAGGCAATAGAGTTGAAGAGTTGGAGGCCAAATCTCCTATGTTAGTACAAACAGAAGAAGTGATATATGATATCACACCTGATTTGACATTAAAACAAGAGCAATTAGATTTAAGTGATGAATCTGAAAGTAATATTGTTAAAAAAACTAAAACTGAAAGTAACGATATGATAGATACAGAAGAATCAAAAATATTGTACCAGAAATCAGTTAATGTTCATCAGAAATGTGAATATTGTTGTCAAAAATTAGCAAGTATAGATATAAAATTATATCCAGGTCATCCAAATGGTGCAGTAGAAGAGATGATTGCATTAACAGATCCTAGATTGTCTTTATTTACTGGGGAAGAAGTAATGGTTCATGAAAGTGATGAAAGACCACAAAATAAAATAACTCATTTTTGGTAAGCATTTTGTACAATATATTTTCTTAATTACATTACATTTTATGTATTATTTTATGTTTTCTATTTGTAGTGTATACGATAAGAATGGGCATTTATGTCCTTTTGATACTGGCTTGGTTGAAAAGAATGTGGTACTTTATTTTTCTGGTTATATGAAACCTATTTATGAAGAAAATTCATGCCCAGAAGGAGGTGTGCCTACAAAAGATATGGGACCAATAAATGAATGGTGGGTGTCAGGATTTGATGGTGGTGAATTAGCACTTGTAGGATTCACAACAGCATTTGCGGAATATATATTGATGGAACCAGCTGAAACATATGCATCATTTATGGATTCCGTGAAAGAAAAAATTTATATGAGCAAGATAGTTATAGAATTTTTACTAGATGAGGTTAATCCTACATATGAAGATTTATTAAATAAGTTACAAGTAAATTTTTTTTATTTAAGATACACCTTCAGTAATATAATATAATTTACTTTCTGATATAATTTTTACTAAAATGTATTGTTTTAGACTATAGTTCCACCAAAAGGATTGTCTAGATTTACAGAAGATTCTTTATTACGGTATGCACAATTTGTCTGTGACCAAGTTATCTCATTTGATACATCAGCAGGGCCAGAAGATCCTTTATTAATTACAAGTCCATGTATGCGAGCATTAGTGACTCTCGCTGGTGTAACATTAAACAAAAGAATTGCGTTACGTCGAACGCAATCTAAAGATCAGAAGAATAAAAAAATCACTTGGACAAAAGCTACAACTACAAAATTAGTTAATAATATGTTTGAAACATTTTTCTCTGATCAAATTGCTACAAATAACGACAAAGAAATATCGGTATGTGATTAAGACTCTTAGAGTAAATAAAATTAGTGTATTAAATATAATGTATTATTATAGGGACCTAAGAGACATAGATGTGGAGTATGTGAAACTTGTCAACAGCCAGATTGTGGAGTCTGTACAGCTTGTAAAGATATGATTAAATTCGGTGGATCTGGAAGAAGTAAACAAGCTTGCAACAGAAGAAGATGCCCAAATATGGCTATACAGGTAAAATAATTAAATAAAACTTACCATTAATACAGTATAATTTTTTTCATAATATCTATATATTACATTTAATTAATTATAGGAAGCTGATGATTCAGATCAAGAAGATGATGATTTTAATGACACATTAATAGAGAATACAAAAATAACTCAAAAAATGATCTTAAAAGAATTTAAACATGTAGAAAAAGAAATTACATGGGTAGGAGAACCAGTTATAGATGATGGACGAAGAACATTTTATAGTTCTGTAATAGTAGTTGATGAAGAAATAAAAGCAAATGATTATGTCTTGATTGAATCAAACGATCCTACTGTACCATTACAAATAGCTAAAGTTATTTATATGTGGGAAGATAAAAGTGGTGCAAAACTATGTCATGCTAACTGGTTTAGAAGAGGTAGTGACACTGTACTTGGTGAAACATCAGACCCTTTAGAATTGTTCTTGCTTGACGAATGTGACAATGTTCCATTCACTTCTATTAAATCTAAGGCCACTGTTATTTATAAAACTAGTTCAAAAAATTGGGCTGAATTAGGTAATTATATTATCTATTCTTAAACAAATTATATTATGATGAATTTTCAAAATTGATTAATTGTATTTTAGGAAATGCAGATGTATTACCAGAAGATAAAATACAAAATAAAGATGGAAAAACATTTTTTTATCAAAAGAAGTATACTCCAGAAACTGCTCGTTTTGAGGATCCTTCTCCGGATCCTGAATGTCCGCGAAAAGAAATTAGTCATCGATTTTGTCCTGCCTGTGTACGTTTCACTACATTACAATGTTATTATACACCAAAAGTTTTTGACCGAGATGAAGAGAAAAGCAGTAAACAAGTGATATATAATATGGTAAAATATAAGGATGAGGAATTTAGAGTTGGGTCAGCTATATTTTTAGTACCAGGAGCTATGAAGTATAAATATACATCTACATATCACATTTCTTCGAAAATAAAGAAAGGGAAAGTAGATGAAGACATGTATCCCGAATATTATCGAAAATCATCGGACCATGTGAAAGGGTCAAATTATGATACACCGGAACCATTTCATATTGGATATATAAATTCAATCTATGCAACAACTAATAACAAATTAGTTGCATCATCTGATGTATGGATTAAAATAAATAAAATGTATCGACCAGAAAATACACATAAAGGTCTTACATTAATGCAACAAGTTGATCTTAATATGGTATACTGGAGTGATGAAGGTAAAATTATTAAAGAAAATTTATAATAAAATTCAGTTAGTATAAATTAATTGATACAGTTTTTTAATTTCAGTTTGTGATGTTAAATTTTCGGACGTAGCTGGAAAGTGTTATTTGGTATATTCAGAAAATTTAGATCAATCTGTAGAGGAATGGACTGCTGCTGGTCCAAATCGTTTTTACTTTTCTCAAGCATATAATGCTGTAGAAAAGACATTCAATGACCCACCATATCATGCTATGAATATTGGAAAGTTTGGAATTGGAAAAGGGAAAGGAAAAGCAAAGTGCAAAAGTAAAAAATTAGGGATTAATGATAAGAAAGTAATCGATAAGCCTATAGATTATTGCAAAGTGTTAAAAAAATTGAAAACACTAGATGTTTTTGCTGGTTGTGGTGGTTAGTTATTATTAGCTTCAAATTTTATTCTGTGAATTATTAAAAATTCCTCTAAATTAAAATGTATGTTATAGGATTATCTGAAGGATTACGACAAGCTGGCATTGCAGATAATCTGTGGGCAATTGAAAAAGAGGAAACAGCTGCATGTGCATATCGCCTCAATAATCCTAATACAACAGTATTTTGTGAAGATTGCAATGTACTTTTACGAAAAGTTATGAATGTGAGTTTAATTAATAATGTATAATTAAAAAAAAAACTTTATATACGTGTGTGCATGTACACATGTGTTTATTTATTTACTTATTTATTTATTATGTATTCTTATCTCTTATATAGGGCGATCTTTGTGATAATAGTGGACAACGTTTACCTCAAAAAGGAGAAGTGGAGTTATTATGCGGAGGTCCACCATGCCAAGGTTTCAGTGGCATGAATCGTTTTAATTCACGGCAATATTCATTATTTAAGAATTCCTTAGTAGTATCATGTTTATCATACTGTGATTATTATAGACCAAAATTCTTTATCATGGAAAACGTTAGGAACTTCGTATCTTTTAAAAGAAGTATGGTACTCAAACTAACGTTAAGGTGTCTTGTACGAATGGGTTACCAATGTACATTTGGTATTCTGCAAGCTGGAAACTACGGTATTCCACAAACAAGAAGAAGGTTTATGACATTCAATTTACTCTGATTAAATGGTTTGCTTTATATATTTTATTATTTATTTATTTTTAGGTTAATAATATTAGCTGCTGCACCTGGAGAAGTTCTTCCAAAATACCCTGAACCAACTCATGTATTTAGCAAACGGGCTTGTCAATTAAGCGTTCTTGTTGATAATAAGAAAGTAAGACTTGATTAATTTTCATTAAAAACCGAAATTAATACGTTTATTTATATAAATTAAATATGATTTGTATGTCCTTTTTTAATAGTATTCATCAAACTGTGATTGGGTCGAATCAGCACCATATAGAACAATTAGTGTTCGCGATGCGATGTCAGATTTACCTAATATTCGAAATGGTTGGAATAAAGAAGAAATAGCTTATAACGATGAACCAATATCTCATTTTCAAAGAAAAGTAAGTAAAATCTACTAACATATTATTGAAATTAATATAGATTTTTTAAAATATATTTACCTTTTTATTCATAGGTAAGACCTAAAGAACCTGATGCAATATTACGAGACCATGTTTGCAAAGATATGGCTCCACTAGTTGAAGCACGAATTGCACATATTCCGACTGCGAGTGGGTCTGATTGGCGGGATTTACCAAATATTGCAGTGCGTTTGAGTGATGGAACATACTCAAAAAAATTGTAAATATATTTTACCTGCAATTTTCTAGATATTTAAATAAAATAATCAAGTTAGAGAACGAAGAACTTGCTTATGTTTTAGAGAATATATTTATCATGACAAAAAGGCAGGTGTAAGTTCCACTGGAGCACTTCGTGGTGTATGTAGTTGTTGTGCAGGTAGAATGTGTGATCCAATGGCTAGACAATATAATACTTTAATCCCGTGGTGTTTACCTCATACTGGAAGACGTCATAATCATTGGGCAGGTTTATATGGTAGATTAGAATGGGATGGATTTTTTGGTACTACTATCACTAATCCTGAACCTATGGGTAAACAGGTATGTGTTACTGCCCTTTTGATTCTATCTACAAATGTGAGATTTTATCGTTTATTTGTAGGGTCGTGTTCTACATCCAGAACAAACAAGAGTTGTCAGCGTAAGGGAATGTGCTAGATCACAAGGGTTCCCGGATTCTTTTCGCTTTTATGGAAACATACTTGATAAACATCGTCAAATTGGTAACGCAGTTCCGCCACCATTAGGTGCTGCTTTGGGGCTTGAAATTAGGAAATGTTTAAAAAGTGATGATATTGATCGACTAGAAAAGAAAACAGAAAATTTCCACGATTAATAGAAATATTATAAGCATAAAAACTAAATATTATTTAAGATTTGAATAGTGACATATTACATTACAGATTATTTTTTTTATCTACATAAATTAACCCACATGTGTTCAGTAAAAATATATACATATTTTTACTATTTACATGACCAAAAGTATTATGTGATGCATATTTAATATACAATATTAGAAGTAAAAAACGCAACTCCAGTTTATTCCAGTACATATAATAATTCTAAAAAATAGATATCAGTATTTTAAGTTAACTTATAAAAATAATTCTCAATCTTTAAAAGTATATATATATCAAGAATTGGATTTTATACAAAAGAACATTTGTAACTCTGTTACACCATATGTATATATTGTATCTTTATATAGTTATATGTTCAAATTATATTGTTTATCGATATTATTTTAAAAAAGAAATAATACAAGAAATATTTATTATAAAATAAAAATTTTATAACAAAATTGTATTTTTACTTTTTAATTGAAATACAAATGTTTAATTAATTTGCTTTGAATTACAAAGCAAGGCGAAAAATGTCAAATGGTAAACATAAATGCGTGTTGCGTAGCCATAAAAAGCGTGTAGTATAAAGTAATGAAGTTCACTCTTATCCCCATTCACAGGTGTCCAAAATTGTTACGGGACAGGAATGGTATTTTCAACTTACAAATTATATGTTCGAATAATTTAAACAATATTCGACGAATATTTTCTGTTACCATGTGGGCTGACACTATTTTAATTGTATTTATTAGTATCTGTACAGCTTTATTAGGAGAAGGTAAAAGCATTTTATGTATCATTGTTTTAAGTTTAAGGTTATATGTCTTATTTACATATTATACTTTTTCAATTAATTTTGATATTATTTAGGCTTAACGTGGTTAATGGTTTATAGAACAGAAAAATATCAGAAATTAAAGGCTGAAGTAGAAAAACAAAGTAAAAAATGTGAGTTTTTAAGTAATGATTACATTAAGGAACATTGATTTCTTGAATATTTACAGATAAAGTTAATCATAATTTTAATAAATTTAACTTTTTTCTTATAAATCACATTAATTTTAGTGGAAAAAAGGAAAGAGGCACATGGAGATTCATTAGATAAACAGCAGAAAAAAAAGATTGAACGAGAAGAAGAAAGGTTAAAGAATAACAATAGAGATTTGTCTCTTGTAAAAATGAAATCAATGTTTGCAATTGGATTTGCATTTACTGCCCTTTTAAGCATGTTTAATAGTATTTTTGATGGCAGAGTTGTGGCAAGGTTACCTTTTGTACCAATTAGTTGGATACAAGGTTTATCACATAGAAACCTTCCAGGAGATGATTATACAGAATGTTCATTCATTTTTCTCTATATATTATGCACCATGAGCATTAGACAGGTAAATTTATATTTTTTATGTTTCACATAATTTTGTAATACTTATTTTATGTAAAAGATACACTATTGGTTGTAGAATATACAAAAAATGCTTGGATTTGCTCCCTCTAGAACTGCAAGTAAACAAAGTGGAAGTATTTTTGGTCCTCCACCTCAACAATTTAAATAAACTTAGAACAATATTAAATTATGAATTTAATATTTTATGATCTATTACATAATTATTTAAATTTTGGTACCATATTTGATAAAATGCTCTTTCTATTGATGAGTGACCAATAAATTATAGTTAATAAAAATTGAAGTCAAATATATTATTACATATATGTAATGTGTATGTTGCAGTTACTAAGTATATTTCAGTATATACACAATAAATATATATTCAATACTGATATTTCTTTTTTAATTAAATTTTATATAATACATTATTTTAATGAATATTATAAAATTATTAATAACTAATTATTTAATCTTGTAATTATTAACGCTTTCGAGCAAACATATAATATTAATGAAATAGATAACTATAAACGTAAAAACAATATTTTTATGTAAAAGTGGAAAGATAATTATTAGAAATATTTAAAAATAATAGGAGATAAATAATAAAATGTTGTAAAGGAAGCCTTTCAATTGATGTAATAATGCAGCATATTTTAGAAAATAGGTGTGACTCATGTATTCCATCAAGCAGCTCTTATACAACAATCAATGTTATATACAAACATAACAATCAATCATATACAAAAAAATAACCACTACCCTTAATTCGTAAAAAATATTTAATACAATAATTGTATATCAGTGACCTATTTCATGGAGTACATATTCGAACATGTAAGTGAAAATATACTCTATGAACATTAGATCTCTTTGCATTTAACTACTTCAAATCATACATACACATTTTTACTAAAAATTGTTGCTTTCTTTTATATTATTACATACCATTTAAGCCTAAAACAGTCTCTTGTTATTAGAGCTAGCAATATTTTATACAAAATGATACAATTATGATATTTACAATCAATCTACATACATGACTAAATGTAAGATATCTTAATTTAATAAAAAATTTTTTAAATCGTTATTTGAACTTTTGGTGTTATAATGTTCCGTTGTATATTACGTTTAATTCGTTTTAATAGCGTTTTAATTACATATATTCATTAGTAGAAAGCGATTAAACACCCAACTGGCAATCTGAAAGACAAATGCTTTTTAAATTGGAATTTGCACTTCCTGCTTACTAGCGTCATACTTTGAAATCACTATTCGTCATGCCAATAAGATTAAAACTTGTAACAATCCCATTCCTTTGATTACATAAATCATTCTCGGCAGTGGCTACTATCTGTAAACTGCGAACGTAAAGGGAAGACATGTTAATCGAGATTTTCATTTTACATGACGTACCCTATTTTTCAGTATATTCTGGAAATAGATAAATAAAAGCACTTTTGACGTTTCTTCAGACCTTTTTAAAATGTCTATTCGAAATCATAATAAAAAATAACGTGTAGGAACCTTTTGCCGTCCAGCAGCCGATGAACCTATTGTTTTCATTGTCATTTTAGATTTAAAGGACAGTTTTCAATCTCGAAATTCTGCAAGTATAATTCACGAAAAATAAATTTATCACGCTTTCTTTGTATAATATTTATCATTCGCATTATGCGATGCAAATTAATTGAAAATTACCGAAAATTGTTTAAATCTTGTGAAAGTATAAGTGTATAAATATCATGTGCTTAATTTCTTGTATTAGTAATAGAAGATTGCACGTTGTTATTAATTTTTTCAGCTAACATGAGCTTGTGTCGATTCAATTGTTTAATCATTTCAGTACGATTATTCATTCTTATTGATTCATGTCAAATAGAATGAATGTTTATATCAAGCTATTGCGGAAATTTCAGATAATTCATTATTTTCATTTCTTTCAAAATGGTGGACAATTCACTCCAGGGTGTAGATATTGACATTTGTCACCGACCCGACAATATCCGTTCTTTGAAAACTGTCGGCACACGGGTGGTTGTTTTCCACTTCCCCTCCACCCGCCGCCTCCGCCTCGCCAGCCACCTCTTCCAGGTGGTCCCCCACCACCTCTGTACCAACCAGGTCCAGGAACACCTCTACCTCTACCATGCATTGGACCACCACCTCTGGGACCTTGAAAATTAGGCCCAGGACCATACAATGGTCCAGGGGGGCCTTGAAAATTGTTTGGATTCATGTTATTGAATCCCATATCTTCTGGACCCATCATTCCATAACCTTCTTGCTGTTGATTATACATAGGTGGTGGTCCCATCATTCCAGGTGGCACCATTGGACCACCTTCCATTCCTGGTGGGAATGTATTTGGCATATTTCCCATTGGGTTCATTCCCATTCCATCAGGTACAACAACTTTTCCATCGCCGGTTCTCCATCCGCCTCCTCCTCCAGCCGACAATGGACCTCCCATTTCAGGACCCATTGGACCCATATGAGCAGGTCCCATCATTTGTTGAGACATTTGAGGCATTGGACTCATCGATGTTTGTGGACCTATGGGTGCCATTACCGGTTGTTGATTATGTGGAAATGATGGATAATGGAAGTTCGGAACTGCTGGCGTTTGAGGTTGTAATTGAGGTTTTGGTTCTGGCCATGGCATGGATGTAAAGTCTTTCTCACTTTCTTTATTTCCCGTGAGGTCATCCAAAGGAATGATTTTAGGCTCGTTATATACATGATGTCGTTCTTCATCGGGCTCTGCCGCAGAGTCTGGGATCCTAAAATTAAAAATTGGTATACATATATAAAATAAAGTATTTTCAACTAGTTAGTTCATAATAAAATATTTATTAAATAAATATATTTTATGGAATTCGCATGAGTGAGTACAGTCTGTATAGTAAACTGTCCAATGGTTTAAAGTTTCTATTCTTTTAATGTAGCATGCGTATTATTTTATACATGAATATTATTTTAATAAAAAAAAAACAATCAATTAAAATGCGCACATACATGCTTCGGTTGAAGTATAGTGCTTGCAAAATTCCCTTTTCCCGAGCATATTGAATATCTTTTTCTCTACTATCTTTTCCAGGTTCTACTAAAGGTGGTGGTAAATCGATTTGAATCAAAGGTTTCCATCTCGTTCTTTCTTCCATTAAGTCTTCATTACCTATAAAAAAAAATCAGTTTGCATAAATTATTTATTAAACCACGTTTTTAATATTTTAAAATAATAACAAAATTATATTTTTGAAACTTACTTAATTTTCTTGCCATTTGGAATGCCTCTCTTTCATTTTGCTTCTCCATTTGTTTCATATCGGTGAATGTTTTCGTTACATTCACTCGTTCCGTTTCATCTAACTCGAAATAACGCACTGATTCTAAGTCGGTTTTCCATTTTAATACCTTCTTTGGACCTTTGCGTTTCTGAAGCAACAAAACACTTCTCAGACCATCAATGTATCGTATTTCAGGATAAGCACTAACATTTTCTTTCTTCGCTGATTCAGACATAGAAGATGTGTCTTCGGGAGAATCAGATATCTTTTCTTCCGTATCATCTTCCGGTGTAGGTGCTGAAAAAAACAATAGAATTTTTGTAGACACTATTTTCAACATAATATATTTATATACAAAATATTCATTCAAAAACACATAAATAGATGGAAATAAAAAACTTACTATTACTTCCAGTATCATCATCAACGTCGGCTTTAAATATCCTGTTTTCTTTTTGATCGTCAGACGTTTCTTCTTTTTCTTTCCTTGTATCTTCATCCGAATTCTCCTTTTCCTTTTGTTCTTTATCTTCATCTGTCTCTAACGTATCTTGATAAAACTGTAAAACAAATGTAGAAAATATATTAATTTTTATTACTAATAATATTTTATGACTATACGTACCTTAAAGTTAGGCTTGACAACTACGGGTGATTTTTCATCGGCACTTGGTGGTGAGGTGGGTGGAGGCGTAACATCACGATTATCACTACTGACAGTTTCTTGTTTCTTAGCTTCCGTGGGACCATCTTTCGTGATGGACGTTCTTCGCTTCCTTTTCCTTGGTTCTTTACTTTTTGTCGAAGCGGTTAAAGCATCCATAAACATATCGCTTTCTTGCAGAACCATAGCTATTAAAAAATAATTACCATTTATATGTAAATTAAATCGAACATATAAATACATATATAAATTTCAGAAAATGTTAAGACCTTTCATTTTGAACAAGAAAAAGGTTTAATACTGTCTTAATAATTGCGTACATGTAATAAAACATTTCTCTAATACAAGTTATTTACGAAAATTGTAAATTCAAATTATAGAATTAGTCAAAGTAAATGAAGAACTTTATAAGCAATTTTAACTACAATCGTAAAAGAAAAAAGTTTTACATGTTACGCTTCGCAAATTGAATTAATTATAGAATAAAGATAATAGATATTGTCACAATAAAATAATCCTGTAAAATAAGCATTAACTTTATTCAATTGTTTAAAATTTGACCGCAAATAATCCGCATCAATCTGCAAAGAAAAAGAACTTATAACTCCACCAAAACTGGAAGTTAAACGTTCGTTCCTTGATACAGCTGAAAATAAGTAATGTTGTAACAAATGTTTAACGGACAATGAATAAAAAAGACTCCAGTAATGAATCTGCAACAAAAATACAATTATATTTTATGTTAAGATAGTGTTAGAAGAACAAAGCCATAATGATTTATTAACAAAGAGAATTTTTTAGAAAAATGTTAAGTATACTCCGAGATAGTTCCGAGTTTAGTACTCAACAACAGAATTAAATATTATTGTGCATTTATAAATATAACGATAATAGGCAGTTGCATTATAAAATAATTTATACAATAGATGAAGTAATATATTTATCAATTGATCATAATCAATCATTACTTTTTAATTATTTTTAATCAATTAAATTACTTTACTTATTTAGTATTTCAAATAAAATTTAAAACAAAAAAGAAATGCGTGCATGTTAGTACTAATATTGAATATTTGAATTTTGTAAAAGTGCAAAAAATTAAAAACGTTAACTTAAGTAAAGCTATAAATTTTTACTAATTTACTTTTAGGCAATGTATATTTTAATGTATTTAACTATCACAACATAATCGCAATCGATTAAACAAGCGTTAATATAAGATATGAAATTTAAAAAAAAGATATTCTATTTAAATTAATTACTGTACTATATCATTTTTAACGATATAACAGATGCATGTAATTTATTATTTTTCATTAATATCAAATGGGACATTTTATACATTAATTACTGCGCAATTTATAGTTTCTTCATAAATGCATTTCGATAACATACAGGAACGAAGACTTTATGCATCTCTTTGGCATTTAATCTCATTTAATATTTCTAAGATAGTTCAATTTTTTCAATTCAAATATTTATAATTAATCATTAAGTAATACCTAATGGCTGTAAAAAACGCGAAAGCTTAATATAGAACGAATTTCATTCAACATATTTTTGTCGCCAAACTTTCTAAATATATAGCAAATTTATATTGGATAAGAATTCAATTAATACACAATAATAACAACAAAAGTCATTATACACGTAAGAAGAAAATATAAGAAAGATATATCAAATCGATAATAAATCGTATTGATAATCGTATAAATGTTTTTGGAACGTATTTGATAAAAGTGATAATAGTAAATTGGGGAATAATATGCGGGTTTTAATTATACGGCTCCAATTTTATTTCCATAAAGCTTTGATTCATCCTCAAGAGTTTACTTGTTTTAAAAATGTTTCAAATCATAAGCGTACTCTTAGTATATTATCTTATACGTAACAATCGAGACGCATTTTCTTTGTTAACATTTCATTTTGTTCGTAAAAAGAATTATTTTGGTCAAATATTACATATCAATGTATTGTCTAAATTATTATTAAAATTTTGCGCAGTCCATTAACAGCGATGTTTTCCTGTACCTCGTGCGAATATATAAGTAATGACTAAAAATTTAGCTTATTTTCCTTTTCCTAAGAGACACGATTTTGTATTCTTTTTTATATAAAAATATATTATGGACAACGTAGTCAAATAATTAAATATTTATAACAATATAAATTTAGTAACGAATAACAATTTAAAATTGTGCAATGTATAAATTAAAGATAAAGTTATATCTATCCGTATTAAAATTAATGTAACTATTTTCTTTTTTATACTATATTCGACGGGCGATATAAAAATTATTATAAAAAATAGAAAACTATTTTTTTTATGAACAGATACTTTGAATATCATAAATTATAAAAAACGCATAATCTTTTTTATGTTAAACAAAAATGTATTCTCTATATAAAAAAGTGTACTCCGATAGACAACAGGTGAACGAATTTATAAACTTTAACGTAAATAATGCATAATCATTGTAGACTTTATTTTTCCACTCGATCGTTTTTTCAAATTCAAATATAAGTGAGGCAAATATCACATGACAAGCATTGTCCACGAATGGCACGGGCCTAAATAAGCTGAATGGTTAATATACTATGTGAACGTAATGCAACTGCTACGAGAAACAGAATCTGACCCCATACACGAGTGTCGACATAAAGACTATCGCAAAAACATCGGCCTCGATATTCCACTGAGCACACCAAGAAGTGCGCCGTTGCGCAACTCCGTCGTTAACTCCCGCCCATCCTTCTTCACGCGTCTAATTCAAATAAACGATTTTCAAATGCTATCTCTTTGATGATAGTCTATCATTTAAATTATTGAATTTTAAAATGTATTAATATAATATACATCTTTTTGCTTTTTTCTTTAAAATAAATACTTAAATAAGAAATTAATTGTGCTCTATTTTATTTTTAACTACGAGACAAGTTCTTGATTAAAAAAAGAAATACTTCTACGAATAATTAAAAACACTCTTGCAAACTAAAACGAACTATTTATATCTAGGAAAGTTCAAATACACAAAGATGCGCCTATTTTGGAATCCTTCCTTTAACTCAACAAAAACTACATTATTTAAAAGAATATAGTGAACTCAAGAGATTGATATTTTAAATAGATGACAATTTAGTGGAATTAATGACGAGCACAATATAAATATTCGCGTTTCGTTTTTCCTGCCTTCTTCTTTATATTTTTCTCTCGTTCCAGTAACGTTCTTTTCACCCGATTGTTAATCCGCGACTACTGGCAAGGAAGAAGACTTCTTCGCCATGTCGACGTTGTCATTGCAAATAGACGATTATCTGTCGTAAGAAGAGACCCGCTGATCCTAAGGGGCGGCTTGTTCGAAGGCGTCGAGTCGATACGCAGCGTCGTATTTCATGCATTTTCGAAAGTGATTTCGTTCCACGAAATTCTGCATTCTTTTTTTTTTCTTTTTCTTTTTTCTCATTTCTTTTTGCAACGATCTTTCTTCGAACGTCGTGCCACATTTTTCTCGCTTTTCCAATCTACTTGCTCATACATACTATCTACTCTTTCTCACTTTCTGTTTCGCTCTTTCAGTTTATCTCTCTTTCTCGCCCTCTCCCACTTTCTCTCTCACACTCTCTCGCCCTCGCGTTCTTTCTCTCCTTATCTTTCATTCTTATTTTTTTCTCGCTTTCATAAGGATATCTTGGGACTGTGCCCGATGCAAATTTCAATTCTCTCTGATGAACGCACGAACGTATTTGAATCATTCTGCAAATCCACTGTGAACTAAACAACGATACAAAATTGAAAAATAACATATTGTTTACAAGATTTTTCCCTTGTATAGCGACGCTTGAAATGGTGTTGTGGTGTTAAAAATTATATGATAATTTTGATCTAACTACTCAAATAATACTAATATATGTGAAAGAAGTAAATAAAGATAAAAATGTGATTTCTACGAATAAACTTCATTTTTAGCGTTATTATAATTTCGCGATTAACAATTCTATTCATATAATTAAAAACTAATAGCTTGCTTGTTAAACATTATAACTCTACTATCATTGCCTAAAAATTATCGTATGACACCATTTCGAGAGCCCTGACTTTATTTGCACTTTAGATTTGTGCGATTAGTCACCGAGAGGATGGAAATCTGGATGGGCTCACGGTATGAGTGTTTGCTTTATCAAGCATTCAGTGAGCAAGATGTATAGCAGAAACCCAAGTTAAATATTTCCAGATTTCTGATCAATTTATTTAAATGCTTAATAGGGTGTACATGTACAAGGGAAGAAGTATGGACAGACAAGAGTTGGTTTGTTTCCTTACCTAGGTAGATTAGTATTATCCGTGATGACTTCTATTGGTGTATCGTTCGTCAGAGAACGGTAAAACACACACCCCGAAAATTATATCGATATAAAACACACCTCCTTTTCTTTTATCCGAATAATTTTTAAAAGAAACTTCACGGTTACTTTCGGTGTATTGGTTGTTAAAAGATAGTGGACTCTATTTTTTATCATATGGCACTAGTTTTTAGACATTTTATACGTACGATTTAATTAATACTTTATCGAAGATTACCTGCTAAATCTTCTTAATATAGGAAATAAATCGATGTTGAAAGAGCCGATCCTAATTTTCTTCGTTCTTCTAACGTGATGTTAATTATCAAGGCAAGCACGAGAGATCCGCTCGATCCACTTCCACGTGGGTCAATTGATACAGGGTTTCTTTTACCTTCTATAATACTCTAATAATTTTTAGGAAAGTAGCATAGGGTTCTAATATATACTAAAAACTAAAATAATATTCCTGAAAGAAACTGCAAATTAATGAGATAAATAAAAAATCTATGTAAATTTTGTCGAATTAGGTAAAGTATTAATGTTTGCGCAATATGTAAAATACGTAAATATATAGTTTGCTCGTGTTTCTCCTGGAGCCAACCACCTGCAAACTCAATATTAAGAAGTTAGTAATAGCACATACAATAAAATAAACTAGTGTTCAAAGACTAGTTAAAATTAACAAAGTTAGTAATTTTCTTGCTTTTTTAATTTATTAATCTTAGAAGTTATACTAGAATTTAACTTAGTCCTTTATTGAGACATTTAATATTATATATATAAAATATATATATATATTTTATATAGAAGTCATAATGTCTCTAATTTCTTAATACATGTCAACAATTAGTCTTTGAACATTAGTATTTTATAAAAGTTTAAGACAGTAATATACCTTTCTCTCTAAAGAATTAAAATTGATTTTGTTGAGAAAAAAAAAGATATATTTAAATATTTATATATATATTTTTTTTATAACATTTAAAATATATTTTAAATACATTAATATATTTTAAAATATATAAATATATCAAATATAAAAAATATATATATAATATACATAATAATTGTAAAAAACTTTTAAGTATTAAGTATAATATCTGTGACACTAGGTAATACTTACGTTTTGGTTTTGGTGGTATTAATTTGATGCCTCCCTTCTTTTCTTCACTTGGAGGTGTAGTTGGTGAATCCAATGATAACTTAGCTCGTTTATCTGTTGATGGAATAGTTTCTCTGAGTGGAGATGGTCTTTTCAAGGCTGGTAATTTTTGTGGTATGACCTTTTTGTCAATGATGGGATGTGGTTTCTTTGCTGATCTTGGTGGTGGAGGTTTTACTTCTTCCTCCAAACCTGTTGATCTAAATTTAGAATTAAATGTTTTCACAGTCTTTGGCCGTGTTGTAGAGTCTTGAGAATTTTTTCTACTCTCAATGGAAATAGAAATGTTCTTCTTCTCTGGCATTGCAACAACTTTCTTTGAATCAGTCTTATTTTCTTTCGAACTGTCTCGAGAATCCGTTGACGATTTTCTTACACCCGTATCTCCCGATTTTTCTTCTTCCGACTTCTTCTTAGGTATTTTTCCAAATTTTGAACTCAGTGCCTGCCCTTGAACCTTTTCTAATGTTGCTTTATCCTTTTCTGCCTGATCCTTCTTCTGTTTTTCTTTTTCTCGCTCTTTATCTGATTTACTTTTATTAGAACTATGTTTGCTGGATGAATTAGACGAGTGATGTTTTTCCTTGTCCTTGGAAGACTTGTCCTTGGAACTAGAACTTTTTGAACTACTACTGCTAGAACTAGAGCGATGACTACTAGATTTGTAAGATGTGGAACTAGAACGATGTGAACTGGAGCTTGAGGTATGTTTAGAAGAACTTTTGGAGGATGAAGATGAGCTATGATGACTTTTTTTATCTGAACTACTAGATTTTTTTTCGTCTTTCTTAGAAGAGTCCCGATTTTCTTTATTACTAGATTTACTACTTTCACTACTACCATTGTCTTTAAGATCTTTACTGTCTTTGTTTTCTTTATTTTTAACAACTTCCACGTCAAGACTATTTGTGGAATCTACTACAGTTTGTTTCACTTCACTTGAAACCTGGTCTAATTTTTCAGATTGTGCAATGTCCTTTTCACAATCTTGACCACTGATTACACCGTCACTAAGTTCTGTAGATACTACTTCCTCGGAAGTTTCTTTCACAGGAAGAGTATCTTCCACAAGATCTCCATTAACTTCTACATTTGTACTATTTGCATTTAAAACACTATTAATATTTGCAGCATCTGTCTCCACTTTTGTAAGAATCTGTTTGCCTTCACGAATTGTAATTTTATACACAGGAACTGGAGATTGTGAAGACGTAGATACCACAACAAAAGCTGGCTTTTTTGATTGCTGTGATGACAATTGTTGTTGGATTTGCATCTGTTGTGGTTTGCTAACAACTTGCAACTGTAAAGGTTGCACAGTTGTCCTTTCCTGTACCTGCTGTTGTTCTTGTGGTTGTTGTTGATGGTGTTGTTGCTGCTGCTGCTGCTGCTGTTGTGGCTGCTGCTGTTGTTGTTGTTGTTGTTGTTGGTGGTGAATGTGGGATACTGCAATAGTGGACGTGGAGTTTGGAATAAATTGCAAATCTTGCACCTGAACTGTTGCATTTTCTGTACCATCCGAGACTTGTTGGATACCACAATGAATAGAATACTGTTGCTGTTGTGTTGATTGAGATACCAAACTTTGTCCCAGAACACCAGTACTTTGTACTGGAATAGTCATGATTTGTGCTGGTACAGAATTTGGTGCAGCTTCTCCTTTCACTATTTTTAACCACTGTTCAACCAGTCGACTAGCTAACACTCTAACACCTTGGTGACTACCTTCTTTTGATAGACCTTTTATTAATTTTGGGCAATTATTACTTTTTAATCTCTCTATATCTACTGGACATAACAACAAAAGTTCTAAAAGTTCTTGAATTAAAGCCCAATTTTTTGCAAGAATACCATCTGTAAGCCACATATGAATAAGATTCCATCCTCCAGCACCCATAAATCTAAACAAAGAAAAAATAATTAATCATTTCAGTTAGAAACTATTCTAATATAAATTATTTATGATAAAAATATATTTAAAAGATATTTTATGGGACCCACATCAGTGAGTACAGTTTATTGGTGAAACTGTCCAATGGTTTTGAGCTCCTATTTTTTACTCTAGCATACATTTTATATTTTACACAATTATACATATTAGGAGTACTTGTGTATATTAGTATGCAATTTATGTAATTTTACTATGTTTATAAATGTTTAAAAAATTTTGCAATAAGTGTTAAATGATTTATTTAAAAAGCCTTTGTACTTACTGACTAAGTAAATCAGTATTTGTAGTTTTTAATATTTGTATATAAATGCATTTTGAAACAAGTTTCTTTGAAAACTTTGTCATTAAATTAGCCAACCGATGAACTTCTTCTTTACTTTTAATACCTCCAGTTGGCCCCAATAAAACACTAAGACATTTCAATAAGGATAGAGGATCTATACGTGGCTGAAAAATCACATATAAAATATTATATATTTTGAATTTTTACTAGGTTATGTATAACACGAAATAAATGAATTTCTATCAATTAAACCAAAATTAATTGATCTTTTAATTACTTTGAAATATATAATAATCTATTCAATTAAGTAACTAAATGATTTAAATTAATTTGTATTTATATAACCATTCTCTGTAACAGAATTTAAAAAAGATTACCAAAGTGTTACTACAAATTTAACCTTTACTGGAGATCATTTTTAAAAATAAACCATCTTATGCAAATTTTAGATATAAATTATTACGTTCACTATAATAATAGTAAATTGCAATTGTTTGTTGTAGTAAAATATGATAAGAATAACAAATAAAAGTTCAAACATGAAATAAGATATTACACAGAATCGTATGCAAAAGAAAAGCATAAAGATCATTTACCTTCCCCATTTTGTTACTGAACATAGAAATTACTGATACATATTATGCTAGTTTTTCAAAAACTTTCATTAAACTACTCGTTTGTCGTATTAAAACCTGGCGACGCCAGAAATAGGATATGAGGTCATATGAACGAAGGTTATTGATCCTACCGCTTTCCCCTTCCATTACGTCAGTCGTAATTTGTCGTACATGGCGCCCTCTCTCAAAAGATTTAGGAAGAAAAAAGAAAGTAACCGAATCTAATAAATAATTTGACTTACCATTTTGGAGAAATTCTTGATGATTTAACGCATATTGAAGTACAAACATAGGATCATGACGTAAATCTGTAATAAAACACAAAGATATTCGTTTTTTTTAATGGGTAGAAATAATGTACTTTTTCAAGGATAAGCGTACACGTACACCGCCATATTGTTAAATCTTTTCACGCACATGAAATATAACTAACAGATATTCTATCAACAAGTACAGAATTATTTTGTCAGAGATTATTACCTAAGCCTAAACATATTTTCACCGATAATTATTCGCAAATACAAAATTCCTAAGTTGCTTTGCTATCCTCATTGTCTTTTCATCGTACTGTACAAGTCATCGATCTCACAAATCGCAAAGACCAACTAAAAGGACTTTTTATACCAGATCTTTTCTATTTCAATTATGGTTTTGATATCTTTATCATTTCCTAATAAAAGGTAATTTTAAATATTGAAATAAAGCAACAGAAGTTATAAATAGGAAAACTATCAATCTAGAATGTAAGCTCCTCAGTTAACGATGATCACTCGATGGTCAACTGGCGGATCTCCTCCTGCGCAATATTTCCGCGCATATCCCACCCAGAATGGTTACACAACCAACCAATCACATTCTGAATTCTCTTTAACGTCAACCAATAATTGTAGCGACCCCACCCCATCACTTGACATCACCGATCAACTACTATTTATAGCACACCATAATTTTCTTGTGCTGTTAGAATTTTGCCAAAATTATTTCTTTTTAGGCTTGTACAATCACTAACACTTTTGAAAATGTTTTAAAAACAGCCAATTATCACTCATGCAAGTTCGAAATAAAATACCTTGCATGCAATTTCTATTGTAAAAACCAGATAATCCCAACTTGCATCACTGATATATAAATTGTTTCACCTTTAAGCTTCAAATATATTTATACTAGCTCTGTCCTATTTTTATTATAATTTAACGAAATATGTGTAAAATTATATTGTAATAATCTAATGAACAGACAATATTGAATTACTAATCGATTTCAATTAAAAGTTGTCGGAAAAATATACTTCGGCTTTTTCGAACGACAGAAAAGCCACTCACATTTGAATAATAATAAAATCCTTTTTATGGAAAATATATATTCACAGCTGTGTATAAGAAATTAAACATTTCCTGTACACAGAAACGATGTGGCCCTACGCTTTGACGAAAATAGGGTACGCATCGGCAAATGCTATAAAATTATCCAAAATCCGTAGATATCTTCTTCTTGATCTGCCATCTGTAATCAAACATTGTTTAAACTTTACTTTGATTACCTTAATGTTGATTTTCTTGTAATATCTTGTTGAACAATTCCGAAATCTACTTTAAACTGGAGTAAAATTATTCTCACCTAACTACGTAGAAGCTGCTGGTACGCCCAAACCGGAAATGTTCTATTTTCTGCAAATAAGTCAAGTGGAATTCTATTTTATGTATTAGATTATATTCAAATTATAAATAACTAAATATTATATATAAAAAATGCTGATTTTATTTAATTTCCATTATTAATATATAAACGAAATATAAATTTTATAATGTATATAATACATTTTCTGACTAATTTTTTATATAAAAATATAAATAATATTTAGTCAAATTAATAACTTCAATAAACAAATTTTAATAATAAGTGACGATAAACTAAATATAATCTGTTTCTTTTCAAATAAAAAAAACACTTTTATATATTTACAAAAAATATATATAGTTTAGTTTTAAAATATCTCTTTACTAGTAAGCGAGAAACTAATATAAAATCATTTTAAATATTGCAATAAAATTAAAGTAAACAGAGATAAGAATATATAATACAAAATTTATTATAATATAAAGTTAATAATTTTGTAAGTATACAAATAATCATTAAAATATATTACATATGCACGGCTTTAGGTTGAACAAATCCGGTTATTCGTTATTACATACAAACGTTTAGCGTCATACTCTGTACTATAATTTTACTTCAAAAACGATTTTAAAGTAAAAATAATGTCACTGATATTAAATAAATTGCAATTAACTGTATTTTTCCGACCCATTTTAAATATAAAAGTAAGAATTAGAGGTAATTATTGTCAAATATTATTTAATACTTTGAATGATTGTTTAGGTTATACCAGTGAAATTTATACATCACACATCTGCTAAATATGAGATAAAAGAAGATACTAGCCATGATCCTACACCTCTTTTAAACGATGAGAGTATTTCTGTAGAAACTAGTATGAAATACTTAAAAAGTAGTGGTATGTAATTACATAATATGATTTCCACTTCATTTTTATTTAACATTAAATATATTTCTAATTTTTTGTATTAGCTTATAAAATATGTTATGGAGAGGATCCAGTTTGGAAATATTATAAACGAAATTTTAAAGGTCAATTTCCTTCACGGAAAACACGAAAAACTTGCATTGTATGTGCTTCTAAGAAAACTATGAACCATATTTAATGTATATTTTATTAAAATAATTCTATAATTCTTTTAGAGAGGTAATAAAATTGATACTGGCAGTCCATGTCCAATATGCAGGGATAAATATTTAATTCTTGATTATCGTAATATTGACTTGTTAAAACAATTTATTTCTGAGCATAATGGAGAAATTTTAAGTTATAAGTATGTTTAATATCCTTTTATACAGCAGAAATTTTAAAATATTTGTATAATTATATTATTTACTCTCTTTTGTTTACAGTTATACCAATCTTTGCCAAAAGGCACATAAAAATTTACTTGTTGCTATAACGAAAGCAAAAGAATATGGTTTAATTACATACAGTGTGCCCTTCAGATATTATGATTATTCAGAGTGGAAAAGTTAAGACATTCATTTTTAACTTATATTTAAAAATTTACATTTAAAAAATAAATCATATAAAATGGATGAAAAAAATATAAACTGTACATTTTTAGTAGTAGGTGGTGGTATTGCAGGAGTGTCTTGTGTTGAATGTATAGGTTTTTTTGCTCCAGAAGAAGAAATTATCTTAATTACAGCAAGTCCTTTGATAAAAGCAGCTACAAATATAATTCCACTTGGTAAAACATTAATGCAGTTTGATATAGAAGAAAAGGATACAACATTTTTGATGAAAGCATATAATTCATTAAAAATATTTCATGATTTTGTAATAAAAGTAAATAGTCTAGATAAACAAGTAGAAACCAAAAATGGAAGAATTATAAATTATAAAATGTTATGTCTCTGTAATGGTGCTAGGCCAAAGCTCATAGAAGAACATAATAATTTTATTTTAGGGATAAGAGACACAGAATCAGTTTTTCAATTTTCTCAAAAAATAAAAAATTCAAAAAGAATTGTAATAGTTGGAAATGGTGGTATCGCCTCAGAAATTGTAAATGAAGTAGATGGTCTTGAAATGATATGGGTAATTAAGGATAAACATATTTCTGCAACATTTGTCGATCCTGGAGCTGCAGAATTTTTTATGGATAAAATAAATAAAACTGATATACCTATAGATACTAATGTAAACTGTGCAACTAAAAGAATGAGGTACACTGTCTCTAATCCTTCAACTACAACAACTGGTGGACCAGCTTTAGGCCCAGATTGGCATAACAGTTTTGATGTAAAAGGTGCTTTTCCTCAATCTACAAAAGTACAAATAGAATATGAATGTGAGGTAATTAAAATTTTTAGTAAATCAGAACAAAAAGAATTGAGTCTTATGGAAGAGTGGCCTATATATGTTGAACTAACAAATGGAAAGACTATCGGTTGTGATTTTATTGTGTCAGCAACAGGTGTAATACCAAATTCTGACATAATAGGTTTAGAAGATATAAAAAAGGGAGAAGACGGGGGATTACTAGTAGATTGGAAGTTGGAAACTTCAAAACAAGATATATATGCTGCTGGAGATGTGTGTACTGCAGGGTGGAACTTACCTAAACATTGGTTTCAAATGAGACTGTGGACTCAGGCACATCAAATGGGTCGATATGTAGCAAAATCAATGATTTCTAAATTAAAAAATGAAGAGTTTCTACAGGATTTCTGTTTTGAACTTTTTACTCATGTAACTAAATTTTTTGGTTACAAAGTAATTTTACTTGGTTTATTTAATGGACAAAAATTGGATAACAATTATGAAATATTATTACGAATGACCAAAGGAAAGGAATATATAAAACTTATTCTAAAAGATGGTAAAATGCAAGGAGCAGTATTAATTGGAGATACTGATTTAGAAGAAATGTGTGAAAATTTAATACTTAATCAATTGGATTTAAGCATCTATGGAGAAGACTTATTAAATCCTGATATTGATATTGAAGATTATTTTGATTAATTAATGTTGTTGTCTTATTTAATGTCTTGTTTAATAAGAATTAAACATAACAACAACTTCAATAAAATATTTCATTAGCTTGGCACTAATAAAATATATTTTATTTAGTAAATAATGCTTATTTAAATTTTGTTGTAATAATATTATTGTAATGTTACAGAGCTTATAAAAATTTCATTAAATGACCATACAGTAATATTTTGTATAGATGTACGTATATAAATATTACATAACACTTATGAATAATAAGAAATAAAATAGTATAGATAAATGTAGTTAAACATATTTCTTTCTATTATTAATGTTTTTCAGGTATATCTTTAATATGCTTTATATGTCTTTTTAATTTAGTTACATGACGTTTATTTTTACTAAGTCAAATCTTTTAATTTATCTGTGAATCTTACACTCTTCTTATCAAAACATTTAATATGACTACGTAAAGTAGATTTTGTTGGTGAAACAGATGTCATACTGTTATTTTTAGGGACTGCCAAATTTGCATCAGAATTTTCAATTATGCTACTACTAACATTCTGGATAGAGTTTATACTTTCATTGGTATGTTTACTTGTATCTTTTATTTCTAAAGCATCACGTAAATTATAAATGATACTTTGCATATTATTAAGAAATTCTGCAACTGATTGAATTTCACCATTTCTATTACATAATTTACGCAAAGTTTTTGTAGCAAGTTCCATTTGTGTAAGACACATATATATAGTTTCTTGCTCTTTAGAAATATCAAATGTTTGGTTAGTTAATGTACTTCCAAGTATAGATGTATCTAATGAAAATTGTTGTAAACTTTCATTTAGATGCTTTTTTACTGGTGTCATATTAATTGAAATTCGACTAGTATTTAAAGAATCTTCAAAAGTTTCCGTATTTTCATAAGTTTCCCAAATTCCATCTGATGTGGATAGTTCTTTCATTGAATCTTCTATGTCATAATCTCGCAAACGGTGAACCCAGTCTAAAAATCGCATTGGCTGCCAAAATGTTTCTTTCATATCATCTTTGTTACGTATACGAATTACTGGTTCCAAATTCTTATTAATAATTATTTGCTGTTGATCAAATTCCTAAAATATAATAAACAAAATTATGTAATTACGTACAAATTATATGTTTTCAACTATTATCTGTGATATAAATACTTACATAATTAATACCAATTTCTTTACACCGTTCAGTAGCTTCTTTGACCAATATTTGCATTTCGTGTAAACTAATACCACCGTCGCTTATAGCGTCTACACTAGCTTTCATTTTAAGAGCAAATTCGGCATTTGCTGTTCTTTCGTTTAAAATACTTTCCAATTCTTGCAAGAAATTAGATTGATATGGTATAACATTAACTTTTTTTTGATCTAATTGCATTTGTTTCAATCTATTATTTGTTTCAACTTCATTTTCAAGTAATTCTTTTTGTATTTCCAATTCTTTTTTCTTCTGATGAATTTGTTCCAATGCAAGTTTCTGTTCTTCAACTGTTGAACCAAGAATTTCAATTTTACGTTCGTATGATAATTTTTGGGAGCCTAATTGCATTTCAACTTCTCGTTTTGCATTTTCTAATTCTTTTATTGCTTTCTGTTTACTTTCTTCTAATTCTGCTTTTAATCTATGTTAAGTCAAAAGGAACATAACATTAAATATTTTTTAATCATAAAGATTTGTTGAATAAACAGATTCATTATAAATTCGTACTTCTCTTCTTGGACTTTAAGAATTTCTTGATGAGCAAATTCATAATCTACAGTTTGTGTTGAAATTTGTATGTTGCTTTCTTTATCATATGGATTTGAAACTTTAAAATAATGATTACCGCCAATTACTAATCGATCACCGTGTTTTAAAATAACTTTGCCAGTTACTACCTACGATATAATTTAATAATAATAAAAATAAGATAATAAGAATAAAAATGTAAAACATGCTTTACCTGCCCATTAACGAATGTATCTCCTTCCATCTCTGACGATAATGTAAGTTTTCCATTATTGTTTTCAATAGTACTGTTAAATATAAAAAATTGACTAAAATAATTTATATTAAACAATGTACCAAAGTTAAAAATAATAGCAATTATACTATACATATCTTTCCATCAAATATTTTAAGTACGTATTCTTCAGACTTATAAACATGATAAAAATGTAAAATTTGAAATCATTTGGAAATCATCACCCTATACCATAATAATTAAGTAATTTAGAAAACTGTCATGCACGTGTTCTTAAACTATATTTGTTTAATTAAAGTATTAGATAAACATATTAGTTCGCAGGAAAATGCTAAGAACATGCATTGGTAAGAGGCAGGTGATAGAAGAAAAGAAAGGTGGATGAGGTAAAATACAATTCAGAAGCAACAAGTTGAATACAAGTTGAACACAAAGATGAACACAAGTGGAAAACGGGAACGAAATCAACAAACGCATCATTTAAACCACTGAACTGCAAGCGAGCCAATAACTAACCAGTGTAAAGGCCTAACAAGTGGTCCATCCAACATGATATCCAAATGTTCAGAAAAATTCTGATAATCAGAATTTTTTCCGATGCGAACCAATCCCGGAGGAATGAGGTACAAAAGCGTACCGGATAACATAGGATCAGCCGCGAGATTTATAAGACAAGGTTGCTTATCCTTTTCATGAAAATCGATCTCAATAGCGATACCACAACGACGTAAGTACTTTATTTCAGAATTTTTTTTTTCCTCGGTATCTCGTAATTTCATTTGCCAAGTCCTGTAATTACACGTAACTGAATATTTAAATTTTCATCCCTCGATGTTTCTGAAGTAATACAATGATCTAATTTTCTTCTAAAACAATCATCATATAAATTATACTGCTCATAATAATTATGTAATTATTTACCGAAATAACGATTGTTTCGTATGACTAACAAATCTTATAAAGTAATTGTGATTTGCATTTAAGAGTGGTGACGTGCGTCATATTAATTCCTAACACCAGTAGTGATGTATGTCAGATTGACTCCGTATTTAAAGTCAAATGTTATTAAAGTCAAATAATAGATAATAGCTTAATACAAGTAGAATATACCTTCATTTAAAGATACGACAAATTGGCGACATGCCACCACTATTGATAGGGAGTCAATTTGACGTTACGTTACCACTAGTGCTATGAAAATAGTGGTCACCACCTGAAGATTAACTTACATTTGAGTAGTCGCAAGTTGTTCTTCAGTCTTCTTTAACTGATGCTTCAGTTTATCAATTTCTTCTTGTTTTTGTTTAACATCATCATTACTTGGGTTAATCGGTTCAACAGAATCCAGAAGACGACGTGGTAAAATTCCAAGTTGCTTTTCGTATCCTTCGCGTACACCACGTAATCGCAATACTTCCGCTTTCAATTCCCTGATAGAAAAATTATATTTATATTTAAAATTAACAACTCTAGGTTACACCTACCACAGATTGAAAAGATTAGATCAGTGATGTTTGACGATACTCTTTTGTTTCTTTGCCTCTAATTGGAAAACCTATATATTTGTTTGAGGATGTTCGATTGCAAGAATACATCTTGAGAGAAGAATTACCTATTTTACTGAATGTGATAATATGCATGCTTTATTATATACTCATTTATAAGAAAATATATTACCGAATTAATTTCTCGTGTGGATCTTCATTAACGCGAATACGATTAACAATTGCTCGGGCCTGACAAGCGTATCGAAGGGTTGCAAGTGTTTCTTCTACGTGTATATTAGCCGGTGATACTGTTCCAAGCATTGCTGTTCTTGAATTTCCTCCGAGGCTTTCCTAATACATTAAAAATAGAAAATCTAATTGTATATAATAAATGAAAAGATGAAAGTAAGATCCTTAAAAACATATTTATGTGAAAAACAAAGTGGAGTCATTGAATTGTAAACAATATTAATTGTGTCAACTTTAATTCTCAATTGTATTTACTTATCATTATTAATCTGTAGAACAAGAAATGATATTGCTAGTTTTGTATTTTATATATCGTACATTTTATCCAACTAAATCTCAAATTTTTTTGCGCATAAATAATCATTATCAGTATCCTGTACGATAAGACAATACAAGCCCGATTAAAAATGATTGCTGCCTAATCTTCCGTACTTACTACGTTATCGATCATTTCTCAACATTATCCTGATATAATTAATAAACCGATAAGACATCAAATAGACCATGGAATTTCTTGATGGTACGTGTACACAAAGGTGTGTAACGTATACCGTTAAGTCTATATTCAACAATGGAAAAATCTCTTGCACCTCTATATTTGCCTCTTTTTACTTAATAAAATCTTCGTTTATCCTTGAATATGATAAAATTCTTGAATTTTATCATCATATACTGCCGCAAACAGAACTTACTGAATCAATATGTATCGGCAGCTAATCGATAAGTAATGAAAAGAATCGAGTGTTCTTGAGAATCTTTTCGTAAAGTGCTTTTTTCCATTATCAGTTTAAATACTCAAACGTCACAGGAAATTTTAGCCAAGATGCAATTATCGATTTATTCCGATGATAAAGGAAATGTATAGATAAAATATCTACATCTGTATATTTTTTCAAGATTAAGAAACATTCACTACGTTTCAGCTACATATCTTTCTTTCCGATTCAATATAGAGCTTGCTTTTTATTACTCTTTATAGACCTTCGGTGTTATCAGCGAAGAAGACTTTATTTTTGTTCGTAGTTAGCATTATTTGAAAGGAAACTTATGATATACAATTGACTCGTAAAGAAATAACATGTGAACGTATATAACGTAATTCTTCCACGTAATTACATAATAAATCTCAGTATAAAACACATTTTATCTAGATTATTAGATTATTTACCACTTCAAGAATATTGAGGTATCACAAAGTATCACTAGGATATTTAAATTATTTATTTTCTCGTAAAAAAATAGTTTCATGTAGAAGAAATTACGCGGAACATTCCTCAATATTTGCTGTTTTTTTTTTTTCCTTGTTTGCTGCGTAATAAACGAGTGAATTGTTATTCAACTTACACTTACTGCAAATGCTTTTATCATAAGATAATAATTATCAGAAAGACAGTTTTGTACGCATTCAAAAAGATCCTCGATATAAATAGAGATATTTATGTTATACTATAAGATAGTAAATAAACAAGAAACTCTTAACAAGTACTTGGTGAAGATTGTTATGCATTATATTTACGATAATTCCTGATAATTGTCTTTAAAATTATACCTAGCCAGCATTATTGTCTGTTCTTTGTAAAACAGAGTTTCAAATATGTACGCGAAATGTGTATAGCGTATGACAAAAATAACACGAATAATTAAAAATAGAGAAACGAAGAGTGAAAAATACATTTGCCAAGAAACAGATTATTCTAGAATTGTACAAAACTAGCTCAAAATGTTCATGGCATAGTGCCATGCAGGAATAAGCGCGGGAAATGTGTTAAACAGTCATAAAATCCGCGAGAAATTCGCAAAGGTGATTGGAGGAAAAGGAGAGGCAAAGCACTGAGTTGAAGGGCGTGCGGTAACAGCGGAGAGAAGTGGAGAGACAAGAACCGATGGAGAGGGAAAAACCAACTCATAAACATTGATTGCATGCTCGGCGTCGTACTTCTTTAGTTTAAAGCATAACACCGTAGTAATTTGAGCACAACGTGATCTCGTTGTTAGTGGTCAGTACTGTCCCTTTTTTTTTTTCTTTTTCTTATGAACAATGTGTAATACTACGAAGTTCTTGATCGCCTACCAATAAGTTGTTCCCAACCGGTGAAAGAGAGAAGACCGGAAGCAACGACGAACAGCAGACCTTACTGGTAAAACGAGTTTTCGCTGCGTTTTAGAAAATCGGTGCAACTCCGCAATCATCCAGCAAGTTTCTTTAGAAACGAAAAGGATAGAAAACGAGTTGAATTAAAACGTACGTCAAGAATTGCAGACATTACAGAAGAAAGAAAAGCATTTATGCATGAAAATATATATAAATTATCATACAGAGCCTTATTATTTTGAGAGAAACTTCTGGCTAAAACAATGGATTTAGTTTATGTTCCTGAGATCTTGACCTACGGTTTCTTAAGGGCTCCTCAATATCGGGACTACGAACAACCGTGGAATAAAGATTACTTTAACTGTGGTACGTTTTGATCGTATGTAATGGAATCACCTTATAATGTATTCACGTGCAACAAGTCATTTGAAATAACATGCTTTTTAAAACAAAAAAGAATGAAAGATAAAAAAAGCAGCAGAGATAATATTGAGGATCTGCGACAGTTGCTTTATCAGGATTTCTTTAGGCAAATAATCAAATTTTCGTATAATTAAGAATTTTTTGAAAATTTTTGTTAGTATTGCTTATTGCTTATTGTTTTCCAGTGTTTGAGTAAACTAAGAAAATTATTTAATTAATTAATATTCTTTAAAAATCAAATTAATATCCTTTGCTACTATTTCGTAAATTAAGTTTCTCTTTTATCTTTCATAGATAGGACATCACCATGTAAGGTACATTGATAAGTAATATTTATGTATGCTGCCACTTTTATTACTCAGTTTCCACATTTTTTAGATATTTTGAAATTTTAAGGTATACTATAAAGAATTCAATTATTGATACAGTTATCAATTCTGTAAAATAATTTCAATTAATGTTTGATTATAACTTATTCCTTCCTTCTTAACAAAACGAAAGATATCCTTCTTTAAAACAAAAAGAAAATTTCAATAGGAATAATCAAAATATTAATCAATTAAACGCTCGATTCAAAGTACAAAAACAATTAAATAATAAATTATCGATAGCATCAGCTTATTACAGTGTATTTATCAATTGATCATTATATTATTTAATATTTTAATCAAAATGAGGATGAAGAATTTTTGGGTTTTGATCAGTATGATTTTCACATTTTTAATCGGTGTTTGTGCACACGCATAAGAATAACTCAAATGTTTCGATGCAACGCAGTTGTCCCTTCCTTTATATTATTGTCGCGAGGAACTGGTTGTCTGAAGGCAATCTTCTACATTATTTAACATACATTACGTTACGAAATTATCATTATCACGATTCAAAAACGTCAATGAATGTATGAGGACACAGGTGGGAAAACTGCTGTAGGAATAGTTTCGTATTCTACCTTTGTATGCTATTTGTCGTAATTACATTTTGAAAATACATGAAAAATAAATAATTACGCGAAATACGTATTTTTAGAAGTTGTATACCATTAAAAGCAATGGAATGTCAAAACAAGTCGGATCGTAAATAAGAAAAGCATATTTACAATCATTATGATTGCAGTAAAGATTGTAATGTAATATGTATATTATCAATTTCATTATAATAACAATGGTGCTCGATTTCATTACAATAACAACAATGATTGTTTATATTTTATTTTTTAGTTGTAGTTTGTCATCAAATAAATCAGTACATGCATTTATATACATATGAACGTAGGTAAAATGACACACAGATCTAAATATACTTTTCTTACCAGCATGACATATTAACAAGAATAAACAGAGTTAAAAATGTCGCATAATATATTCAATTATAGTAATGTCAAATTGATTAATATAGTAATTGTAAATCAATTATATTGGTTTACATATAGCAATTATTTTTTCATTCAATTTGCAATTATAAAATTTATACATCTGTACAAAAATGTTATATGACTTATAAGAAATTTGGTGATAGTTAATTTGAAAACATTTTATTTGTTTAGTTTAGAAACGGAATTTCTATTTAACAAATTACATATTTCTGCGAAAAAATATATTTTTATATAATTTATTTATGAAAGTAAATCTATAAATTGAATTTATAAATTTATATATGAGAAAAAGAAATGAATCCCTTTAATAATAGATGCAAATATTATTCAAAATTAGACCGCATATACGATGTAATTCTATTTTATTTTATAGAATTATTCTACTATTCGCGTAAAATTACGATCTTGAATATATATATATATATAGAATTTTTATGCATCAATCTTTTTATCTTGAAAGGTTATCATTTCTCGTAACTATTATAATTTAATACGAAAAAAATACAATTTCTGCAGTAATATGTTTGTATAAATAAGAGTTTCGTAAAAGATATGTGTAACACATCACGTTGCTCTAATCGCGAATAATACCCACGAGAGATGCGTTCTTTCAATTAGAGAACACTGATTTCAGAACATGAGTTAGGTCAGCAAAGTGACTACGTGCAGCAACGCACGGTACTACCTTTCAAAAGTCTTTTGAGCCGTGATTAGCATCCACAATAGAAAATAATTTACATATGAAAATATTGCATATTTAATATTTTATATTAAATATTACATACTAAATATTTTATTTTTATATAACTATAATAAAACAGAATAATGATAGAAAATAAAAGAGTATAGATAAGATTATAATGGAACATAATCCAATCGATTAACAATTAATCAATAACGAATATAATAGATTTCAATAGAGCAATAAAATTGTTTTACAGGAAAATCAAGACAAGTTCATTCTCAACAATTACCACAACAACAACATGTACAAAAAGTACTTTCGAAAGAAAATTGCTACCTCTGAAGGGAAAACAAAAGAAGAAGTCTAGCGGCTTATATAAGAGGAAAATCGCGGAGAAATTCTTGCCAAGAAATTCACGAAGAAGAAGAAGAATACGATAACACAAATTTTAAAGAAGAAAACACGAACATCGACGTTAAAATGTCGAAAGAACTTTTAAAAAGTAATAAATGTTTGGAAACTAATAATGAAACAGAAAAATTCAAGTAAAAACGAGATATATAAAATTATAATTTATAAGAGAAATTAAAATAGAATTATAATATTACATTTATAGGACACATTTATTTTACCATAATTTAATGATTCAATATATTATTTACTTTGAAACATCTTTTTTATAACACAAAGTGTTTTATATCTTTATTTGAATTTAATAACAATTATACATGATCACATGTATAATCAATAATTTATTTTCATATTATTTTATTATCTATATAAAATATGTGTCTAAAATAATGAATATATTAATTTTATGAAATAACATTAAAAATATCCTTTATACATTAGAATTTAATAAAAAAAAAAAACGCTTTTATTGTCCTTTCATGAAATTAATAATTTAAATATTATTTTAAGTGGTACAAATGTTAAAGCATTTTGTAGATATATAAAATATGTATATATATTTGAAAACCATCAATTGAATACATCATATGTGCCCTACCAATATATTTTAGCTACTGGGTATATGCATAAAATATAGCAGATGTTATTTATTTTCTTCAATAGATTTTCAAATATGTAAAACATATGTATGTACATATATTTCAAAATATTACATATACATAGTTCAAAATTTAGCAAATTTATACTATAATTGCATTTACAGTTAATATGAATGGTATAAATTAATGTGGATCTTTATTTCACAAATGTTAATAGTACTATTTATGTTCTCTAATGACGAATGTTTTAATATTAAAAAAATATTAAATTAATCAAATATTCAATGGAAAATTGAATAATTTATAAGACTGAATGTATATATAAAGCAATGTAAGGAAAATATTTTCAGAAATAAAAGGAATCTAACTCAGATATTCAATATATTTCAATCAATATTATATAAAAAAATAAATTATATATAAAAATAATGGTTAATTACTCATATATGAATTATTATCACAACATATAAAGATTATAACTCAAAACAAATTATTTTATTCAAGATTCAATGAAGAAAATTACTTATCTAAATTAGAAAAAATTTTATCTAAGTAAATTTATAGTACTTACCTTTAATAACCATGTAAGGACAGATTCTCGATATGGGACAAAACCACGTTTACGATTACTTATGTTTTCAGCCAGAGATGCAATCACTTTTCCCAGTGTAAGCAATGATTTATTAATAGACACACCTTCCTATGAAATACAAATAATTATATTATTAAATGAATAAAATTAACAAATAGTAATTCAATAATTAAATGTAACATGACAGACCTTTAATCTGTCACCACTTGCACAAGTTTGACTTAATCTTTCGCTACCAGCTAAATCTACTAAATTAATTTTACTCCGACGACTGGCATCCATAGGTTTATTATCTAATTGTTTATTTACTTGAGTTTGAGTTAATATAATACTAAATATACTATGAGATCTTGAACTTTTTTCATTCATTCCAGTTGCTGCTGTAGCTCGTTGTGAATTACCTACTTTGAGCCAAGTCTAAAATAAATATATTTATAATAATATAACAAATATAATTTATTAAAACATAATTTTATAATATCACCACAAAAATAACTACAATTGACATTATGAATATACCTGCAAGTCTTTGTAACTTTGTACACAATGTTGACTTAAATCAACAATATATGGACCAAATACAGGATGTTCTCTTACTTTAAGAGGAGCTCTCTTTACTCCACTATTAACATTTGTTAACAGATCATGTATTTTTTCATTATAAATTTCAAAATAACTAATTTCTATTGTAGTTTCAGTATTCATATTATCAGATACTCTTGTAAATATTTCTTGACAAAATCTTGGAATTATACCAATTGATTCATCAAGTGATATATTAATTTGTGCAGATTCTTGACCCATCATACTGTAACTTTTACCAGAACCTGTTTGCCCATAAGCAAACAAACAAACATTATATCCTTCAAAAGCATTGTGTACCAATGGTAAAACCATATTGTTAAACACAATTTCTTGACTAGCATAATCATGTTCCGATGTATTCATATATGACATAAAACAATGATCATATGTGAAAGTATGTTGAACTGATTCACAAGTAACAATAACATTTTGACCATTTATTTGTACAACTGATGTAACTTTTGAATCACTTATTTCTCTGAAGTAATAATAGAAAAATATAAAATAATAATATTTAGATAAAGAAATTTCAAAATATAACTTACCTTGCATTTAAAGGTCTAACGCGTATTCCCACAGTTAAATTGCTATTTTCTTCTTCATATACTGTTTGATCGTCAATACCAATTTCATTTGATTTACTACATGGTGTTTCAACTTGAACAACATTGAAATAATCAGGGGTAGCTTGTGATAAAATATTATCACTAAAATAACGTTTTATAGGTGTTTTATTTGAAGGTAAGATATTCATTTTTGAATTGCTTGTAGCACTATGAATTTTAAATTGTTTAGGAGTACAAGAATATATGGTTGATATTTTTTCACTTAATGAAGTTGCAGATGCTACTTTTGTAGAAGTTTTACATTTTGCATTAGATGTAACATTTTCAGGAAATAAGATTTGCTTCTTTTGGAGTATATTTATAGGCTTTGAATGAATAATATTTACACTGCAAGGTGTATTTGTTAATTTCGAATCTTCTATAATATTATTATCAAGTAATATTTTACGTTTTTCAAATTTTAAACATTTATTTTCATTATGATTTGCAATTTCTTTTTGAGGTGTATCAACTATATCAGAACAAATTTCTTCCCTACAAAATAATAAAATAAATATTATAAAATAATTTCTTAGTATCGATGTAAGTAACCTGCTAACATAAAAGAAAACTCACTTTTCATTCAGACAATTTGTATTTTCTTTATCAAAGTTAATAGGCGAACTTGAAAAAATGGCGTCATAAAATCCATGTCCCATAGATTTTAAAGTATTATGTGACATATTAATGAAATATATCAAGACTTCTTTAATTAAAAATCATCAGTGCGATCAAAATTTTGTTTTCTTTTGACTAACCTCATTAAATTCTGCTCTTTGACAGTTCATGTGGACTATTTGTGTGGATATCCACTAGTTACAGTTTGAAACTTTTGTAACGAATTTTTTCGTAATAACTATTTAAGAATAAAATAAACTTTTTAGAAAATTATATTTTATTTAATATTTAAATTTTAAGAGCAAATGTTTATATATTATACAAATTAGGTTTAAAACTGATTAATTTGCTATCATGTTAATTAAGCTATAGTATCTTATCTCTGGACGTAATTATTTTTTGAATTTTAAATTTATAAATTATCAGAATAACCAACGTTAAGAAATCAATGCTACCAACATTTACATATCATATTTAGCGGAACAAAGTGAATCTTATGTTGTTAATATATTATTGTTACACGTGGCAGCAATATTTTAGCATATTGCACTAATGAAGTACCTACAACAATTACTTTAACAGTGATATATAAATAAATTGTATTTTAACAAGGTTATGTGAAATCATAGGAATGATCACGATAAAGAATAATCAGCAAAAGAGTCGTGCAAACAAATGGACTCTACAAATTGTACTTAGCACGCTTTTATTGCTTATAATTTTAAATTTACCGACTCTTTGTCAAGCTCACGATCATGACGAATCACCAAGTTTCAAGTATTCTAAAGAAGCTAATGAAGTATATTTGAAAAAACAACATTCCATAGACCAACATAACAAAATTATAGGTCAACATAAATATGAAAGTGATAATTATGATCATCAACATCAATCAGTTTTATCTGATAAAACCTACAATGAAGTGTTTTTTAGAGCTATTGCATCTACCTTAATCATATCAGCAGCTCCTTTTTTTATTTTATTTTTTGTACCTTTAAATAATACTAAAGAATGTGAACCACTGCTAAAAATATTATTAAGTTTTGCATCTGGTGGTTTATTAGGAGATGCATTTTTACATTTAATTCCTCATGCTTTAGTTCCTCATGTACATGAATCTTTTGAAGAAGCATATTCGGATATGCTTTCTCATAGTCATGAGGATAAAAAATCAGACCATAAACATGATATGTCTGTTGGTTTATGTGTATTATTGGGTATCATCATGTTTTTAATTGTTGAAAAAGCAGTGAGAATTATAAAAACTGATCATAGTCATTTACATGTACATAATGTCTCAGAAAACTTATCAAAAGAAAACAAAAATGATAATAAACTAGCAAAAAGCTCTGATAAATCTGATGTAATTTCTAAAGAGAAAAGTGAAAAAAATCCTCAAAATGAAATAAAGATTACTGGCTATTTAAATTTAGTTGCAGATTTTTTGCATAATTTCACAGATGGTCTTGCTATTGGAGCAAGTTATTTAGCTGGTAAAAATATCGGCTATATCACCACATTTACAATTTTGTTACATGAAGTACCTCATGAAATAGGAGATTTTGCAATTTTAATACAAAGTGGATATAATAAAAGAAAAGTAAAATATAAAAATTATACAATTAATCAAATAATCTTTGTCAATTGGTGTAAAAATTATTTTTTCCAGGCTATGATGTTACAACTTTCTACTGCTATAGGTGCTTTGTTAGGTACTTATGTATCACTACTTGTAGAAGGCTTGGGTAAGCACAAGTTATAAGACTACAAGAAAATATGTTTATCCTAAAATTTATAATAAATTTATCTTAAAAATTAATTAAATATTGCAGGTGATCTTGCAACTATGTGGATTCTTCCATTTACAGCTGGTGGATTTATTTATATAGCTACAGTATCTGTAATTCCAGAACTTTTAATAGATACTAATTTTAAACAGTCTGTAAAAGAAACTATTGCACTGCTTTTAGGTGTATATATGATGGTACTTATTGCAGAATACGAGTAATTATATATCAAATTTTTTGCCAATGTGAGATAATTAATTACTGTTTATTTCATTGCTATGATAAGAATTCAAAATTAGAATTTATATTTTTACAAAATCGTAATTTCATTATTTAATGAATACTAGTGCCTATTCTCTATTATGTTACTGTTTTATACCAGTGAAAACTATGATTATTACAAATGCTATGAAAAGGTATGGAGTATACACATAAAAGAAATTGATACATTTTTGGGTATTATTTGTCATAATTAAGAATCAGAAATATCAGAAAAATGTGTTGACATTATATTATATATTCAATATACTTTTTCTAAATGTCAATGTTGAAACTAAGTATCATTATATTATTATTTTTATAAATCAATTTTATATTCAGTTACATGTGTTTTTTGAAGAGTTTGATTTCAATATTTATTTACATTGTGAGCTATATAAAATCATTATTGATATTGTAAACTATATAAAGTAAAATAAAATCAAATCTTCATTAAAATCTTTATATAACTAGATATAGAGCTACTTTTTTCTGTAAACTCAGAAAAAATTATATGTTTATTATAAAAAACTTCATTTTATATCATTACAAAAATCATGGTTTCATTACTAGTTTAAATATTATTGTCTGTACCACTTCCAGAATATTATAATGGCAATTAAAGTGCATCTAAAAAGAAATTAAAATTTACAAAATTACTTGTATTTATTTTAAATACAACATAAAATATTTATTTTGTTGATGAATTTTTTAATGGAACCTGTAATAAATATATTATTATTACATATATATTTAATATTTACATTTCTATTATTTACATTTTAAATTGGAATATATAATTTGAAGAAAATTCTGAATATAATATTGTTACTTCATATTTATATTTATATTAAGATATCAAACGTTTTATTTCTTCAAGACATTTTTTAGCTTCCATTATAGATTCATTATCATTTTGAAGTTTTGCTAAACGTTCTCCTTCACTACAACTTTTTTTTGCTTCTTCATATAATCCTTGTGCTATAAATGTATTTCCTAAATTGATATTAATATAACCCGAGTCAACCATATCTGGTATTTTTTTTCCTAAAAATGTAATGATTGAATTTAAATTCAATTACAATAAAATTATTAATATTACCTAGTTCCGCAGCTTTAGAGAAATACTTAATAGTTTGGTCATATTGTTGTAACATATAACAAACACTTCCTAAATTATTTAGTAAAATGACAGTTTGTTCATTTTCTTCACCATTTATTTTTATGCATACATCATAAGCTTGAATAAAATATTCAAGAGCATTAGCATATTGTGATTGTGAAAAAAGCATTGATGCATATTTTTCTGAACTTAAACCTAGTAATTGTAATGCATCTTGATTTTCATTGTTCTTAGATAAATGATTTTGCAAATGTTCCAAACAAAATTTGTAACCAGTCACTGCTTTTCTGCATTAATAAAATTAAATATTTGTAGAGTGTTAAATTATCAAATATTGTAATTTATAAAAAATTGGAAACTATAACTAAATCTTTTTACACAATTGCTTACTCTATATTTCCTATTTTATCATATATATCAGCTATTTTAAGACTAATATGAATGATTGCTAAATCATCTTGTGGAACTCCCTTAGCTATTAATCTTTTTAAAACTGATTTAAATAAATCTTTTGCTTTTTCGAAATCATTCATATCATATGCTAGATTTGCCATTATATCATATACATAAGTTATACCATCATAATGTTGTAAAGTTTGTGCTTGGTATAATGCAATATGTAACATTTGCTCTGCTTTCAAAAACTCTTTTTTCTATAAAATTAAAAATTATCATTAAAATTGCATTAAACCAACAGGAAGTTTATATTCAATTTAATAGTATTGTTAGCAATTATGATAATATAAAGATATTATGCCTAACCTGAATTAATAAAATTGATCGTTTGATTGTTATTTTTAATTCTTCAATATCATCTTTTTCTTTTTTAGGATTAAATAAATTAAATAAAAAACTACCTGACACAATAAAATACTTAGTTTGTGACAAAGTTTTCCATTGATTACTATATTTTGTATTATTAAAACTTTTTTTAATTTTATTAATTTGTTGCAAATATACCAAAAATATATTTTTCTTCTGATTTAAAAACCAAATATTTGCAGCAATGTAATTAAATCTTGTAACTATTTGAATATATTTGGAAGTATTCATAATTATCTTTTGACAATACATTGTACTGAGCTATAATTTCTTCTTAATACAATTTTGAGGTAACAATACTAAACACAATTTATGACAACTTCTTAATAATATGTATACATGTATATATATATTTCACTCTCAATGATAATATAAAAAACAATTGTCCTTTAACAAGCAGAAAATTATTTTCATGTTTTACACATTTATTCAATATATAAATCACAAAATATAACAAGTGAATTGCCGATCAATTTTAACTAACACATATTACATATATATGTAGTATCTACATATATGAAACTATACCAAAAACGTATGTAATCTTACACAATATGATATACTATTATATTTATTCAGATACATATGCATATATAATTATTTACCGATATATGGATAAGTATCCAAAAACGATATATGAATAGCAATATATGTATGCTGATTTATGACAAATCATTGCACATGTAAATATATGTACAATATTGTACAATATGGTTATAGTATTCTTCGCCCCACCCTTGTTTTTCGTATCGCAATGCTGCACACCTTGATTTCATGCATTACGTACCTTTTCACCTTACGGATATGAGATAGGTCATATCACAACAGGTAAGAAAGTTTCAATTGTACAGTTTTTTTATATACTACATGTCAAATATAAAGATTACATATCTATACATGATAGTATCTTCGTTGGATTGATGATAAGGATTGTGTATAAATATTTCCGCGAAGTTTAGTTTTTGTACATATTCGAGCTTTATATGCGTTTATCACTTTTTTTTTTATTAAATACTCTATTAAAACTTTATAACTATGTTAATAAAAATATTATTTAATATTTAATGATTTCATTCTTTATTATTCCATAAAATTATTGTATATTTTAGTTTATGTTTATATTGCAAATTACACATTCATGGGCACTCCCTATTTTCTTTTAAACCACTGTTTGATAATATTTTTTACCATATTTAACATATTTTGCAAATATATATATGTATTTAATTGAATATATTTTATATGAATTATTTAAATAAAGACATTCTATGTGTTAACAAAATATTTAATATATTTGAATGCATTACAAATTACAAAATATTTAATATTTTTGAATGCATCATGAGTAACAAAATATTCAATATTTTTGAATATATTACATGATATATTTTTTCTATAAATATGATTTGTTTGTTTTTTATTATCTCTTCAGTGAAAATGAGCTTACAAGATACAACTGACCATGTGTCAGCAGTTAATTCACCTAGCATATCTTCAAGAACAAAAAATTGGGTCCAATTTGAGGATGAAGCACCTGTCAAAGATAATGATAGTAAAGAAGAAAAAGCTAAAACAAATACACCAGCTGTAATAAAACCAGAATCAGTTACAGTAAATGTTGAAAAAATTGGAAAATCTACTGATAAATTAGATAATCAACAAACGAAGAATCATGAATATAGAGGTGCTGTGATATCAACTGAATCCGTCCAAATTAATTTAGATAGGTCAGGTTTAAGTCGCTCTATTACATCTGAAAGTCCAGATCTTAATTTACCATCTGAAGTAAGAGTTTCTGATCCTAAGAGTGCTTCTCTAAAGACTATTGATCTCCGTGATGTATCTAATGGAAGAAGTGCTACCAATAATATTATAAGTACACCTATTGGAAACATTAGACAAGGTTTTGCCAATGGAGATACTATAGTTACCCTTTTACCAGTTAATACCAGATGGCCATGGATTACTCCAGCTAAATTTCGTCCAGAATTAGTACCAGAAGAATTAATGGCTCAAGGTCTAACGGTAAATATTTAATTACACTTTATATGTTTTATAGAATAATCAATAATTTTTATAAGATATGTCTTTCCTATGTGTAAATTTCAAATTCTTGTATATCTGTATATAAGTAGCATTAATCTATTACAGCTTACTGTAGAAGATTACGTACATATAATGGAGCTTCTTGTGAACGATGTACGTTTCAATATGTACAATGTATGCTACAAAAGGATTCTTGTACTTTGGATATTTACTGCATTTATCGTATTGCTTGGCTTATTGTTTTCTGGAGTAACTGGTCTTACTTTATTTGGGCTTGGCGTCATGTGGTTAGTCCTCAATGCTGCTGCAATATTTTTTTGCATGTTCATCAAGATAAAATTAAATCATAATCTTGAAAAATGTATGGGTCAAGTGAACAAGCATTTACTTCGACATAAAATTTTGCTTGGATTGGATGATAGAGGGAAGATTTCATGCCACAAAGTCAATCTTTGTTTCATATACTTTGATACTACAGATTGCATTGTAAGTGTAATTGAAAATATGTTTAATTTAAACAGTTCAAGCTTAATGTAATATGTGTAAAAACATTTTTAATTAAAATTGGAAATTTTGTTGAGAATTTTTTTGTATTTCAATGTATGTCATTTATAGACTATATATAAGAATTGATTCATTTATTTTATGATAGAAAAAATTGCAAGAAGTTATAGAACGAGAAGAACGTGAAGGAAGGGTAATTGGTGAAGATGGAAATTCAGAAATGCGTCGGAAAAGAGAGTTACAACAACGAATGGATATAGATGACAGTGATATTGTAATACAAGGCAATACAACTACTAGAATTTCTCGCAAACAGGTATATAATTTTTATTTCAGGTAATAATATTATATTAGATAAATTTATTAATTTCTATAATTTTTTAAAATATTTATAGTATCTTACAATATATATTTTATAAAAATGAACATTATTTACCTCATTTTTGTAAACTTTTATTACAATATTTTATTTTTTTGTAAAATAAATTGAAAACTATTAGGGTAAAAGCGAACAAGTATTCTGCCGCTATGTACAACGTTGGGCAAAGGATTATTTGCGTCGTCGATTGGATTGGACAGTAGACGAGGAAGGTGGAAATCCTTGTTCACCTCGTCATTTAGCATCAGCTTTATGTCCATGTCAATATATAGAAGAATGGTTACGTAACAAACCTCATGTTCAAGGCAGAGATTTCTGTCCTAGCTGGAGTAGTTTTCTTAAAGATAGAGGCATTTAAAGTAACATTATTTTATATATAAAAATTAAAAACAGTATTGTTTAAAACAATTTTGATAAATTTAAAGAGACATACTTTTTAGTACATAAAAGTTATTTTAATATCTGTTTGATAATAGAATTTCTCTTAACAAGAAATCTAAATTAAGTAAAACATACATTAAAAATCAAAGAATTTGAATAGATTTGTTATATAATAATATAGGTGATATTATTAATAATAGTAGATGCATAATCAAAAAGTGTAATAATGAAAACTAGTGAAAATAAGTTATATGAAATGTGAAAACTACTTATAATTATGTACTTAATTATACAAAATTTTTATTTGTAAGAATATTAATTACAATTAAGTCTACATATATTAATATTTAAAACATTTTTTAGAGTTTTTTTGGTGATTTGGATCATTGATAACATGATTAATATTGTTTTTTTTTAATTATATTTTTGTTGACTAATATGATATTAAACACATGATATTCAATTCGATACTTGTATAAAACTTGTAGAAATTACACGTATATACGTGTATATATTACAAGCTTTATTTTTAGTACTTTATAGAATTGTATATAGCACTTAAACATTAAATAGTTCAGGAATAGAAACTTCATATATATAGAAAATATTTCTGTAAAATGGTGAATGATAAAAGATTTCTTAAAATATAATCTGTTATGTATGCCTTGATAACATATCTATAATGCATAACAGATTTGTTAAGTTTAGAAATGAACTTACAATGTCACTAATACTTTAGCTTTAGGTTTCTGAATGATGATGGTATGTGTTGACAGGAACGGGCGGAGTTGCTGTTGCTGAGGTATGCATCTCGATGGGCACACCACTTTGTGCGCCGCAGACTTGATCTGGTTATAGACTCACAGGAACGTAATAGAGACATCGCGGGTTTATCAGTTCCACCACGACATTGTGTCTCCGCCCGTTGTCCTTGTCAATTCATTGAGGACCATCTTAAATACAAGCCTAGAGGCAAGTTAATATTTCGTACATTTTTTTTGATGCCGAATTTTGGTGGTAAATAGCAAAAATCAGTAATTTCATAATTATGATGCAATCATAACTTGAAATAGCTAGACCAATCTATTATATGTTCCTAAAATTTATTTTTAATTATATATATATATATATATATCATATATTATATATTATATATATATGAAAAACTTATGTTACAAATCATACGAAGAAACAGCAAATTGAAATCATTATTATAATATATAGTTACTACTATAAGTAACTATTAAATATATACAAAACATTATTTAATCAAAATTCATATATTTTATCTGTAACATCAACTTATTCCATTTTATTTCTAACTAATCCAAGTAACATTCACCATTTTACAAAATGCAATGGCACATTATATTAAGCACAAAAAAATGACAAAAGTGGTAGATTGTTAAAGAAAAATCTCAAAAATTCTTAAAGAAAAGAAAGTTATAACCATTCCATTATTATAACATTATGCTTCATAAATTATTTTAAAATTAGTAAGACATTTAATACACTCTTTTATAACTATAATGAATTTTATAAAAAAAATGATATATACATAGTATATATATAATATTATATAATTTTCCAATAATAACATTGGAAAATTATATATAAATTATATATTATTAAGAGAAATTTAAATTATAAAATTGGATCTAAAAGAGAAGAATGAATTCCAGTATTCATTTAAATTAAGGCAATTTATTAAATTGCAGAAATGATATTAAAGCAGCTAATAGCAATTTGTAATAATTGCAAATGATTGATAATTATGTATATTGTAAAAGATATACAATGAATTATATATCTCTGAATTCCGTCCTAACTAAACATATCTACACATTATGTAAAAAATATAATTAATATATTGTATACTTTTATATTTTGTTTGAAAATACTTAATATCTGTACATGAACAGAGCAATTCTACTTTTATATAAAACAAATGTAAAGCACTTTTATATTATTGTTACAAATGTTATAAATAAAGATAAACACATATTACATATGTTTTTTTGGTGAAGGTACAATTGTATTTTTGTAAAAATCCTTGTCATTAAAGTAAATTGATTATATCATACAATCTTTTGCTTAGTTTTAATTGCCTAAATGTACCTTATATGTATATTTTTCCAAAACATAGGAATTTGTCACTAACCACTGACTAATCCAGGGATGTTACTTGCATGTAGCTGGATAAAAGACAATATATTATGATATTTCATTTCAACCACATTTTGTGAGCACATGAAAATCATTAATTAAATGAAGTGTAAGTACTGTTAAATCTGAATGTTTATAATGCTTAAACAAATATGGCGTAGGTAACTGCTTTATATGTTATTTACGCATATATATTAATACATTTTCTCCTTTAAATTTTCAATCATTCTACTTACATAATACTTTAAATTGTTTGATTGAAAATATTAACTAAAAATGTGATGCATGATTTTTTCAGGATATCCAGCTGGCTTTACATGGTGTGCTTATCTTAATGATCCATTAGTTAAGTATGATGTTACATTAGGCATACCAAATTAATAGTGTCAATAATTTGATTAATGCACAACAGTATTCATTAAGGCATTTGTAAAAAGAAAGAAACATCCATATCACTATCTATTATTTCACTTGTTAAGTTATTTTCAATATATTTGTGACATAAAGGTAACAAAGTTCATGTCATAATAAAGTTTTAAAATTTTTAATTAAATCATTCATAAAATGTATATTTTTCTACAAATTAATCACTTTAAATAATAACAAAGAAAGAAATAAATTATTAAAAAGAAAATGGATACGTTAATATAATAAATTTAATATAAAATAATAAGTGAAAATTATTACTTTGTATTTTGAAATTCATATTCAAATATTTACAAAATATAAATATCATATGTAGATTTAAATGGAGTTTAGTTAATATTTACTATTACAATCATAGTGCCTTTTAACTGCCCATACATATTATAATAGCTTTATTTTACATTGTACATGTAAAAATTTGTGATTAAGATTAATTTAAGCAGAATTATAATTATATTGTTATATTATATATCAAATTGTATGCATTATATTATTCACATATCATATCATACATGCTTTTATATGTACATACACATACGCGCGCGCACGCGCACATACACATGCATATATAAATAATGTAAAATATAATTATTGTGTAGAAAGTCAATTATATGTATATGTTGTAATAGAATGAATATTTTATACAAAAAAATACTATCTATTAACACATTAAATTATTCATATGTAATTATAAGTAAAATTATTTTACATAATTGGTTAATTTTTAGTACATAATACAAATGATTAAAAACATATGAAGTAAAAATTTGTATATTAAATCTTTTTCAGAAATTATTTTAATATCTTCTGTATAATTAAAGCAACACATAGTAGTTCTATATAATTTACAAACATGAAAAACTTGTTATTAATGCTGCTTGTGCTTGTTTTTTAATACTATCTGCAAGTCTTTTTATTTCTTCGTTATCAGCTTTTAGCTGTTGTTCTTTTTCTTCAAGAGTAGTTTCCAAGTGCCTCAACTGCTGTTTTATATTTAAATACATTTTCACTTTCTGATATGTATCAGAAGTATTTGCATTCATTAAATTTTCTCCAAAAATTTCATCTAAGAAAAAAATTTTAATTTTCATACAAATCAATAATAATAATATAGAATATATATGAAGAATGCATATATAATACAACTCGAAATGAGGTTATGATTTAAAATATTATCTTAATATTTTTTCTATTATTATTATTATTATTCATAATGAAATAGTAAAAGAAATACTACCGTTATTTATTATTTTAAATGCTATGTCATCTACAGGAGCATTGTTAAGATCTTCCAACATATGTTCAGAATCCGGAATATGGGGTCTCGGTGGCAAATTGCTCTTTTTATGACTAAACATATTTAATTTGATGATATGTCCGTCTTACTTTTTTCCTTTATTAGGTTCGTTACATATGGATAGTTATATATGCACGTAAGTTATTAACAATCATAGAATTAGTAATAAGAAAGATAAGTTTAGCACATATATTACATATTCACTAATGTTTAAAATTGGGGTATTCTGGTACTAATGCATACCTTTTTTAACGAACTGTTCTTTTTTTAAAATCTTTTCTTAAACAAATTGTATTTATTAAATTATTTTTAAAAACTGCGAAATAGAAATTGTCCTTAGTTGAAAAACATACATTATATCTAATATCGTTTACTTTTGTAATGATAATATATTACAAATTTAATTCAAATTTAAAATCAATTGTATAATGCTTCCCTCCTATAACAATTTTATAAGATTTTTTTTTCATAAACAAATTTATATAGTAGTATTATAGTAATTTATATATTATAATTATTACATATTCAAATTTCATATTAAATTCGTCACACATTTGTTTTAAGTAAATATTTATTCATTTCGTTCATAAATAATTAAATTTAATGTAAAATATTAATTTTTATATTTTATGTATAAATTTTATAAATCCCTATAGTAAATTCATTTTTCATGACTTAAAATATATTCGTAATAAGAGAATAACATATCCAAAACATTTAATTTAAGAATTAATAATCTATTTTCTTAAATGCGTTTTGTGTATATTTATATAAGTTTTACTTTTTAATTAATAGATATATTAAACAGTCAATTGAACTAAATTTCATGATATCGCGCAGTTTTCAAACCTTCTTGAAGATTGTACCGGTAACGTGCTGCTCTTTGTTGTATACATTTTTTGAATCTCGTAAATATCTTAGGAGAAATTAATCATTTGTTTTACATAAAAGCAGTATTTAAAGAGTCATCTTTATGTTGATATAATAATAATAATAATAATAATTAAAAAATTAATAATATTATTGATGATTTTTAGCGTCGTTTGTACACAAATATAACCACCATGCCACCAAAACGAAGCCGAGTCACAAAGGTTAGACGAATAAATATTTAATTATAGTAAGATAATATAATATCAGGATACACACTTTTATAAATACAGTTACAATGTTTTTATTAAAACGTTATATATAATATTTTAGTTAATATAAAATGCATCATTAACATAAATGTTAAACAATTTATAAAAGAGATGTTCTCTCATTTTATTTTGAATTAGGAAGATTCTACGAAAATAAAAAATGAAAACAAAAGTAAAATATCAAAATCTGGAGTAACATCAAATAAAAAGTCTAAACGTAGTACAAATGATATTGATGAGGAACCTACACCAAAGCGTGCCAAAATAGATACAAAACCAGTTATGAATAAAACAGATACAGATTTAAATGAAACCGATTTTGACTGTCTAAAATTAAATGCAGCAGGAAATAAGTATAATTTAAAAATTTCTAGTTGGAATGTTTCTGGTTTAAGAGCGCTTATTAAAGTATGATATTTATATTTTTGTACTATACATTTCCTAAATAAAATTTTATTACTATTTCATTGTATATTTCAGAAAAATGGGATAAGATACATCATTAAAGAGGATGCAGATATAGTTGCATTACAAGAAACTAAATGTGATAAAAATAAGTTGCCCGAAGAAGTTAAATTAGATGGATATCATTATTATTTCCTTGAAAGTAGGAATCTATATAATTTATTATAAATTTCTATTTTTAAAATAATAAAGTACGTATATATTACAAATAGGTAAAAGACCTGGATATTGTGGTGTTGCCCTATACTCAAAAGAAAAACCACTCGATATAAAATATGGTTTAAATGATCCTGAATTTGATAATGAAGGTAGATTGATTACTGCAGAATATTCAAATTTCTTCTTGATTAATGTTTGTAAGTTATTTATATCTTACATAATTATGAATCTATGTACATAATTGTAAATCTATTTATTATATTTTATATTATAACTGTAGATGTTCCAAATGCCGGTCAAAAATTAGTAACATTGCCAAAAAAATTAAAATGGAATGAAGTCTTTAAGACATATATAAAAAACCTAGATGAGAAAAAACCTGTTATTATCTGTGGTGATATGAATGTTGCTCATCAAGAAATAGGTTGAAACTTATTTATTGACTTATATATTTTTTACTAAATTATCAATTAGTTAGTCATTAAATTATGAACTAATTGTTAGAGTATTTATTATATTATTTATTTGTATAAACTAACTTTTTAATTTGTTTAGATCTTACAAATCCAAAAACAAATACAAAAAATGCTGGATTTACTAAAGAAGAACGAGAAGGTATGACAGACTTTTTAACTGCAGGATTTGTGGATACTTTTAGAGCTTTGTATCCTGATAAAATAGGTGCATACACATTTTGGTCATATTTTGCTAATGCTCGTATTAAAAATATAGGATGGTGAGTGCATAAAAATTTGTTTAATATGAAAAATATTATTTTTATACTATATATGTTATAATCCTTTCTTTTATGTAGGAGACTAGACTATTTTTTGGTATCAGAGCGAATTAAAGATAATGTTTGTGACAATGTTATAAGGGATAAAGTATATGGCAGTGATCATTGTCCTATTGTACTTTACATCAATATATAATAAGAAATTGAGTGTTTCATACTTAAATTATATATAATTTACTCCATTTGTTGTATGTAATGTATTTATTTTGTCTTCAAACAATAAAATTTTAGTTGGAAGACACTAATTCGTATTTATTATTACAGTAATTATACGTTATTTATAAATAAATATTTGACAATAGTAAGTATATGTATTTTTTCCAACATCGTATAAAAATTATTTTTGAATAAATTAAATATGTTAATATAATTTTATTATTACTTTAATATAAATATTTTAAAAATATAACCTCATTTGTAGTAACGAAGTTTGATGCATTTTACTTCTATTATTTTACTAAAGTTACAGGGATTAAAACTTTTTAAATTGTGTTAGATGATTTAGAAATGAATCTTTATATCTTAAATTAAGACATAATGAATTACCTTTTAACAAAATGCATAACATAACCACATTACAGTATTTTATTGATAATAATGTTTAACCATTTTAGTATTATGCAGAACGATCGTGCTGTTTATATACTATACTAAAAAGTGCCGCAGCGTTTATCACGATTCTCAATTGGTGATGCGCTTGAGCTAAGTGTAATACACCGTCTGTCATATCAAAGTTTCGTTTCTTACATATACAAAACGTAAAACAAGAATATTTCGCAGACTTTTGAGTGCTCACTATAATGTTTCAGATACGACTCATGAAATTATTACAAGTAAATAAATGAATAATAATAATATGAGGCGTGATTGCAGCGCTCAGTTAACAGAAAAACAGAAGACCGAGATCGCACCGCTTCATATTACTCGCAGTTGAACGAAGGAAGCGCTATCGCGCTGTGTGGCATTATCCAACACGAATTTTTAAAAACCCCTGGTATTAAAATGGTTAAAGCATAAGAATAGTAACTATAACAAAAAAAGCGGTAAATTTAATTGTAATTAAAAATGACATCGCTAACAGATAACACTATTAAATTACATAAATATGAAAGTTTCTTGTACTTTTTTTTGTGGATGGGTGCAGTCATATATTCCATTTATAAAGTATTTTTAATTGGTACTTGTAAGAATTTAAAAACATTTTATTTAAAATAATATATATATGTGCGTATATATATATTTAATTTATCTATATTTTAAATTTACGTATAATTTTTAGACTTTATTAATTATGATGATTTGTATGATGATTTTGCACCAGGATGGATTTGGATTGGAAGGAAACAAGATGTTTCTGATCAAGAATGGAAAATATGGATACCATTAATGATAAAATTAATACCTTGGTTACTTCTTCATCATTTTGTTAGTCAGATTATAAGAATAACATCAAATTCTGTGGTATAATATTTTGATATTTTATATTTTGTATCTGTCTGTAATTATTTCACTAATAATATTATATATTTTTGCAGCTACTATGTTATTGGTATATTTTTATATCTATATTGTTTTTGTACTTTTGTTTTGGAATATTGGGCATGTTGTGTGCATTAATACAACCAAGTATACTGTTTATTTTAACATATAAACGTAGTAAATCTGCTATATGGATGATAAACATATTATTTTTATTTATAATACATTTTCTTAAAATTCCGGATGGTACCTTTCAAAATATATTTAAATTTAATGATGAAGAACATTATATTTTAACCCTTATAATGTGTTGGATTCAGTTAAGAAGCATTAGTTACAGTCTAGACAATATAAAATTACATTTAGAAAACAATTGTGATAATATACTATTCTTTGTACAGAATTTTTCATATAAATTAGCATATTGTTTATATTTGCCTACATTATCCTTAGGACCACTAGTTTTATACCATGAATTCATTAATTGTGTATGTATAATATTGTATTAAAAGCATTTCTGCTTAATTATTGAGAACAAATGAAAAATATATTTTTATATCTTTACAGGTACAAGGAAAATATCAATTTATAAAAGTTGTAAATCTTAAAAATTTTGTTTTTAACTTAGTGAGATACACTTTCTGGATATTTTTTGCCAACTTTTTCTTGCATTTTCTTTACTTTAATGCAATACAGTATCACCCAGAGGTAAAGCTATTTTCTTACATTTAGTATTTTTATAAATATTAAATAAAACTTTATATACTCTGTTTTGTAAAAAACAGGTTGTTAAAGATTTAAATTCATGGGCTTTATATGGTTTAGGATATTGTATGGGACAATTTTTCTTAATTAAATATGTTGTAGTATATGGACTTATTCATACTTTATGTGCAATAGATAATATAAAAGCCCCTTATCAACCTAAATGTGTAGCAAGGATTCATTTGTACTCTGATATGTGGAAATATTTTGACCAAGGTTTATATAAATTTCTTGTAAGGTATGATTGAGATATATAAATCTAATAAATAATAATAACAAAAATATCAAAAACAAAATATTTTTCAGATACATTTATGTACCTTTATTAAAATCAAATTTCAACAAATTACTAGCCTCTTTTTTATGTTTTACATTTGTTTTTGTATGGCATGGAATGCAAACAAACATTTTTAT